GGTCAGAACCTCCTACTGAAGCAGCAGCATCCGCACCAGCAACACCAGGAGCAGCAGTGGAAGAGCCACCATCAACAACAGGAGAACCATCACTAGTAGCAGCAACAGCTGTATATGAACCAGCACCAGAAGCAGCAGCATGAGCAGTAGCCTCGCCAGCAGCAGAAGCAGCAAGATTGCCACCTGCTGCTGCTGTAGACCGCTCAGCAGCACTACGAGCCACACGCGTGCGCATGCGTTCAAAGATCTCAAACGTGGTCATCCTATCATCAGCCAGTTGCAGCATTAACGACCGCATCACACATAAAGCCCGTGTACGGGGACTCAAGTTCCCCACAGCAGCATCCCCCTCTCCCTCACACCACCATCACCATCACCATCACTCCCAGTCACATCCACCACGGTGTCAAGCAGAATACCATCAATCTCTCCAAGCAGCATCGCTCCTCCTTCGCCCTCTCCTTCCCGACTGGCCCTCTTCACAAACACGCCAGCAGCTTCGGCAGCGGAAAACGCCTCAATCATCGCATCCTCCCTCGCTGTCGCTGCAGCTTGTTCCGAAATCGCCACACGCAGCGACCGGCACAAGGCAAGAGCGGACCTTATGATAGCGGTTGCTGATTCGATCTCGCTCAGGGTGCTCTGACCCCACGGATCATCGGCTCTAGCGGCTTTGCTGCGCACGTTACTTATAACGTCGTTGGCTTCTTTCATTAGGTTTAACGCGCAATTGCGCGCCGCTATCAGGTCCGCATGTGCTGCTGCTGCTGCTGTTCGAATGTCCACATACGTATACTCATATCCATACTCCCTCCTCCCTTCGTTCATTGGATGGACAATTGTTGGTGCTGCTGCTACTGCTGCTGCAGCTGAAGCAGTTCCGTCTGATCCCTTTCCTGTTGAAGCTTCTGCAATCGTTGTAGTTCCTATCACCCCCTCTCTCTTGCCTTGATCCACTGCTTCACTTCCCTCCACATCACCTTCCTCCCCACCCACTCCACCCTCCTCTTTACGTTCCACTCCCACTCCCCCTTCTCCCCCTCCCCTCTGCACTACCACCACCAGCATACTCACAAGGCTCTCTAGAGACATCTGCTGAGTGGGTCTCGACGTTCTTTCCCCCACCAGCTCAACCTCTCGCACACCCACACTTCCTTCCCCAGTCAACAAATCCACCTGCCAACCCCACTTCAATCGTTTCATTTCCTCCTCAGCCTCATTCTCACATGCCCTGACGCTGAGACCAGAAGCAACCTCCCGCCTACCTGTGATCGTCAAGACTGCAACCCACTGCAGCGAGCAAGCAGGCCGGGGCGGAATGAGGGCAGCCCGGAAAACGAGAGCGTGTGCAGGTGGGGGGGAGGGGCGCGCAGGAAAGACCAGAGGCCTTGTGCGCTGAAGAGGTGATATGTGGTGGAGCAAGGGCGAGGGAGGAGAGAGCTGGGTTGGCTTGAGCAAGGGTGGCGAGGGAGTGGCTGGAGAGCAAGGGGCAGTCGATTATGGTCAGTTGGGTGAGCGTGTGGAGGGAGCGAGAGAGGGCGTGCAACTCAAAAGGGTCGATACTGCAGGAGTGGAGGTCCAGGGAGGAGAGGGAGGGGAAGGAGGCGAGAGGAGCGAGGCGGGTCACTAGTTGGGCTGATTCGAGATTGAGGGTTTTTAGGGTGGGGCGGAGGGAGGAGGAGGAGGCGAGGGAGGAGAGGGTGGAGGGGTGGGGGTTGAAGAGAGAGAGGGAGGTGAGGGAGGAGCAGCGGGGAAGGGCGTCGAGAGGAGGGGCGTGGAGGAGGAGGGAGAGGGAGCGGAGGGCGGGGAAGACATGGAATGGAGGGACGGAGGTGTGGTTGTTGTTATGCCTGTGGATCCAGCAACGGTCCCATGGGGAGTCGAAAGTGAGCGATGTCAAGAGGCTGATGAGGGGAAAAGGGGGGAAGAGTTGGGAGGGATGGGAGTGGAGAAAGCGGAACAGGGAGTGGAGAAAGCGGAACAGGGGGCGGGGAAGACGAAACGGAAAAGGCAGAACGAAATGGGGAGCTTGGGTGAACGGGGTTGGGGGTTGAGAGGGTCGGGCTTGAGGGGGCGCATTCAGGAGAGAGAGAAAAAGAGTGGAGTGAATTGGGGGGAGAGGGGCTGGGGAGAAGAAGGGAGAGGCGGGAGAGCAGGAGGGAGGGGAGAGAACAGGGAAAGAGGGGGGATGCACAGGGAGCAGTGCAAGAGAAAGTAGAGGAAGAGGGGAAAAACGCAGGAAAAGAAAGGGAAATCAGGATTCGGGAAAAGAGGGGGAAAGGGGGTGGGGAGGGGGGAGGGGGGAGGGGGAGGAGGAAGATAAGGGGGGGGGGTGAAGCGGGGGAACTAGGCTAGAAAGACGCGGAACAACAGAGGGGATAGGCTGAGTGAACAGGGCTTAAGGAAAGGCCATGGAGGGCAGGGGAGCGAGGCGGAGAGCGGGGGGAGATCGGACGTGAGTGGATTGAAAGGGCATGAAGGGATGAAGGCCGCGGCGAGGCGAGAGTGAATGGAGGAAGCAAGCTGGAGACCGAGAGCACGGAAAAAGGGAAAGCGCAGGGAAACAGGGGAGAGTGCGGGGGGGAGGAAGGGGGGTGGGGGGAGAGGAGATGCAGCTGGAAATATGGAAAAGGACGAAGAGGAGGGCGCAAGGGGAAAAAGTGGGGAAAGAGCTGTGGGAAGAGAGGGTGGGAGCAACTCACGGGCATTGCTTCGCGAGCTTCGCCAATGCAGCTTCGTTCAGGAAAAACCACGCATATATTCCCACCACACTCAACCGCTCCAGTTTCGGGCACGCCGCGCCGATTCCCCCCAGCAGCTCGGTTCCCGCCGGATTCGAACGAACCTCCACGGTCAGCTCACGAATATGGGTAAATACCCTCGAAAACCTATCCAAATCTTCGGACCACCCGTTTCTGTAGGGATTCGGAGAGAGTGAGACGAACTTGAGGTGGAGCGAGTGGGGCGTGCGGCGGGAGAGGCGGCGGAGGCGAGAGCAGGAGAGAGCGACGCTGCAGCGATCGTGCGAGCGATCCAGACGGGTGAGAATTAGGAATAGGAGCTCGTCGGGGAGAGAAAGAAGACGCCCGCTGTCGTGCGGATAATTTTCGATGGATGATATGTGTCGCGAGCCTGTCATATTCGTGAATTGGAGTTGTTAGGGTTACCACTGTGATAACAAATTCGGGTGTGGCTGCTCACTAGTAACGGGTGCTGCCGCCAGTGGAAATAGAAGGAAAACGGACAAACACGATAAAATGCAGACTAACATGCGGGGCCGTGTTTAGCAGGCGTCACCTCCCTCGATCGATTCTGCGTAGGGTCAAGTTTTTCATTCGGTACAAAAAGTTTTTAAACAGCTTCAATGCAACACTAGGGGTTTTAGTGCGGTGGACGATCGATCTTCCTCGATTTTGCACAATCGATCGAGGGAGGTGACGCGTCCTTAGGGATGGTCTTAGGGCGTGTCTCACAAGTTCGTTTACAGTTCAAGTTAAGGGTTGTAACCCTTTTTTCAGCTTGTAACCATTTCCAGCATGACATGCGTCTTCAATGACGCACCTAATGAGACAGCTATGACGTCAAGAGGTTCGTACTATCCCACGTAAAAGGTATGTGAGATCGCCTCGTACCGGGTCCTCCATTCCGTTACCCCAATCTGATAATTCGCGCATATTCAGTTGCGCGAAAATATAATAGAAATTCGCACATGGCACCATTATTTCGTGCCGTGGCGGGTAACCGCTCGCGGGGGTGGGGCTATGAGTCCGCGTGGGTCAATTTCGTTTGGCGCTGAGCTGACACGCTGCGTGTTTTTCCACGTCAGAGTGTACACTCTTTGCTTTGTCGAAGTTACGTATAGCTTCTCTCCAAAATGAACTCATGGGACACGCCCTCACATACATAGCCAGAGTGTGTTATCTTCCCGCATATACGGAGGCAGTAGCGTGGGTTTGGTGTGAGGGCGTGTTACCCTTTTAAGACACGGACAACTGGATCGAACCAACCCGACCCCTACCTGTTTGGGGTGACCCGTGTACGGGTGAATCGGGTCGACCCGCTCCTTATCGACCTGGCCATTTTAGGAGCAGGGGAGGGGTGACTATAGGACTTTATAGGATTACTTCATTCAATTTGGGAAATGGAGGCTATTATCGCGGGATTCTAAACCGGAACATCCGTTCCCATTCTTGACCTCTGTTGATGTTCGGAGCGCAGCCTGCAGGGCGTTGGAGACTCCCATTCGTTCGTTTGTTCAACCTCGCTTCTTATCGGGGGGCGGCGCTGGAGATAAGAGGGCAAGAATCAGGGCTTCGGGGCGCACTGTGGTTGCTTGGCTGTTGGCGCCTGACAGTCGAAATCGTAGATCCGAGGGTTGAAATTCACCGACATCCCTCGACGTCGAGTTGTGCGGTACTTTGAACACGCAATGTCAGCGCTATGTCAGGCCTCACCGTCTCGTTCTGGTTCCGGATTCCACTCGAAGTCGGGAGGACGTTTCGCGAACCCATTTCGAGCCCGACATAGGCTCGCAGTTTCGTGAACAGGGTAACTAGTTTGCCACCTGGAAAATGCTTTCCATATTGACCAATCCCCAATCGCACAAGAATCACCTCTATCCAAAGTATAGCCACTCACTTGCGCTTATCAGCCACGTCATGCCGAACCGTGGCCTCTCAGTGAAAGTTCATCAGCAAGTAGATCTCCCACCGCTATCAACCAGCCTGAAATCCTTCGTACCGTAACTATGATACAGTAAATCTCCGAGACCCGAACCGCCTCTCAGCCGCGAGCCGAACCGTCACATTGCCACAGTCCCAAGCCGAACCCCGCCTCGGTTTGAGACCAGAGCAAGAATCGCTCCTTCCCAATCTGGTATAAAAAGGTGCAGCCCCCTGCCAGTCCATTCAATTCAAGAAATCATTCTTCAGTAAGCTTGTTTGCATCTCAGCAAATTCTCTTCTCCCCGCGAGTGTGCCTCACTTCGACTCACTCAAGCTATGGGCCGCTCCAAGCTTTTCTTCCTTCTGCTCGCGCTCTCCCTCGTGGTGTCCCTCGCGCTCGCGCCGGTCTGCCGCGCGGATGAGATCGTCGCGGAAGACGACTCCGCTTTCGACGCCGACGACAACGACGATGTCACCGAAGTTTCCGCCGCGGCGGAGCCTACTGGTGCGTACGCCAATTTCCAGCAGCTCTTACGCTGACATTGACGCCGAATTCGTGTTCATATGAATAAAAATCTCCTGACCGCCGTTTTTTTCTCTGATCTGACACGCTTTTTCGTTGCATTGTGTTTTGCAGGTTTCCTGAGCAGCCTGTTCGGTGCGAGGCGCTTCCTGTGGTCTCTGCAGGCGCACCGCATGCTGCACAGCTGCAAGCAGAAGTGCGAGGACAAGAACAAGAAGTGCAACACTGATTACACCAAGTGCAAGCGCAAGTACAGGGACAACAAGAAGAAGCACAAGGAATGCACGGACGACTACAACAGGTGCAAGCGCAAGGCCAAGAAGTGCCGCTCCAAGTGCGACTAAACCGTCGACTGGGCTGAAGGGGAGGATTTGCCACGAGATTGACTGCATTGGGAAGAAGGGAGCGGCATTCTTATTAGGAGCGCTGTGTGTCTGCTTTTGTGTGTTGTGTGGTTGATGAGGCAGCTGGTCGGTGATTGGAGGGGTTGTACTAATTTGTCATAGCAGCGTGCAATAAAGTATTTGGGGAAAAAATATTACAAAGTGCCATACTAGAGTGAGTCACTTCTGTAGTGTTGGAACAGAGTGGTATCAGGTTTCAGCACCTTGAATGGAAGTCAAGAGGCAATCAAGCTGCTTAGCTATATACCCTACACTAGCCAATGCCCACGCATTCAAAAAGAAGTCTCAAAATGGGGCAATGATCAATGTTGGTTTATTTACTTGCCACACTGCTTGCTTGTTCAGAAGGACGGCTGAACAAGGCCAATCGCCCCTGGAATTACTCTGAAGACTGTTGGCATGAAGAATGGTTTAATAAACTGGAAACGAAAAAAAGGATGGCTAAACAAGGAGGTCGAACGCCCCTGTGAGTACTCTAAACACTGCTGGCAGGTGCCCACTTATTAAAAAACTCAGAGCAAAAGGAGAGAAGCTAAACAAGAAGGTCGATGGCTCCTGGGAGCACTCTGAACACTGCAGGCAGGTGCCCCAGTGCCTCCCCATCCCCCTCCACATACACCTCCCCGCTGGCCTCCTTATTGTCACCCTCCGCTGCCGCCACCTTCATTTCAATCACCTCGGCACTGCAATGAGCAGGAGGGGAGGTGAAGTATGACCAACACTGGAAATAAATAAGATCATAATGCAGATGTGGAGTGAACATGGTGGTGCCTTAGTTTGTGTGCTATCACATGTATACCCTTTCCAGGTGTTCAACCAGAAATAGCACAGATCTGTGGTGTACATGAATGGTTACCTGTTAATGTATGATGAGTGTACCTTTGTTTCTTCGTGCATTCCTGTACCTTCACATGGCACCACTCATTCCCCTACTGCACCCTTCATTTTCCCACTGCACTGCTCATTCGCACACTTCACCCTTCATTCCCACTGCACCACTCATTCCCACTGCACCACTCATTCCCACTGCACCCGTCAATCTCCCACTGCACCACTCATTCGCACACTTCACCCTTCATTTCCACTGCACCACTCATTGTCCAACGCACTGCTCATTCCCACTGCACCTCTCATTCTCCCACTGCACCGCTCATTATCCTGATGCACCGCTCGTTCCCACTGCACCTCTCATTCTCCCACTGCACCGCCCATTCCCACTGCACCGCTCATTCTCCCACTGCACCTCTCAGTCTCCCACTGCACCGCTCATTCCCACTGCACCTTTTATTCTCCCACTGCACCGCTCATTCGCCCACTGCACCTCTCATTCTCCCACTGCCCCGCTCGTTCTCCCACTGAACCACTCACTCTCCCACTGCACCTCTCGTTCTTCCACTGCACCGTTCATTCCCACTGCACCCCTCATTCTCCCACTGCACCGCTCATTCCCACTGCAGTGCTCATGCTCCCTCCCACTGCACCCCTCATTCTCCCACTGCACCTCTCATTCTCCCCACTGCACCGCTCGTTCCCACTGCACCTCTCATTCTCCCACTGCACCTCTCATTCTCCCACTGCACCCCTCATTCTCCCACTGCACCGCTCATTCCCACTGCAGTGCTCATTCTCCCTCCCACTGCACCTCTCATTCTCCCACTGCACCTCTCATTCTCCCGCTGCACCGTTCATTCTCCCACTGCACCTCTCATTCTCCCACTGCACCTCTCATTCTCCCGCTGCACCGTTCATTCTCCCACTGCACCCCTCATTCTCCCACTGCACCTGTAATTATCTACGCCTTTGAAGCGCAAGTGGGTGCCGGAAAACAGGTGCAGTCCCCGCAGGATGAACCCCAGCACGGTGTAACCGCATATGGTTACCACCTGGAGTGGGACGGGTTAACAACATGATAGGGAAGGCATCGGCACACAAATAGTACCACTGGTACAAGCATGAAAACAGGTGCAATCCCCGCAGGATGAACCCCAGCACAGTGTAACCGCATATAGTTACCACCTGGGATGGGGTGGGTAAACAACACAACAGCGGAGGCATTGACATGCAGGCGAGTGGGGTGTAGGCAGATGCGGCCACAACCATGCACAGAGGTGCAATCCCCGCAGGATGAACCCCAGCATGGTGTAACCGCATATTTACCACCTGGGATGGGGGGGTAAACAGCACAACAGCGGAGGCATTGACATGCAGGTGAGTGGGGTGCGAGCAGATAGCACCACAACCATGCACAGAGGTGCAATCCCCAGAGAATGAACCCCAGCACGGTGTAACCGCATATGGTTACCACCTGGGATGGGGTGGGTAAAGAACACAACAGGGGAGGCATCGGCATGCAGGTGAGTGCAGTGTGAGAGGCATCGGCATGCAGGTGAGTGCAGTGTGAGAGGCATCGGCATGCAGGTGAGTGCAGTGTGAGAGGCATCGGCATGCAGGTGAGTGAGTGCGGTGTGAGCAGATAGGACCACAACCATGCACAGAGGTGCAATTCCCACAGGACGAACCCTAGAACGGTGTAACTGGATACGGTTACCACCAGGGGTAGGGAGCGGGTGAAGAGAGCATGAAGGATAAAGACAGTGGTAGGTGTGCGGGAAAGGAAGGCACACATTCAAGTATTCCGAGCTGGGATTCGCACACCCACCACTGTCGGATGTCACTTTTGAGAAAATTCAAAAGTGACTCCCAAAGGGCTGGGGTTCGCACACCCACCACTGTCACATGTTCAACCTTCCTCCAAAATAGTTGGTGCTGCCCAACACAAGCAACCCCCAACCTTCCCAGTGCACACTCAGAGTTTCAGTTGCCTTCCAAGTCAACCCCCAAGTCCCCACCGCATAGCCTATCCAACACTACCCACCCACCCCAGCACGTCAAACCCTCAGGTGTCTGTCTTTCCTGTCCACCCCGACCGATGTTACTTACCACACGCGCCATGGACACACAATCCCCAGCACAACACACCTCCCTATCCCTAACACGCACATCCAGGGATCCCGAGCTGGGATTTGCATGCGGGCAGATCTTCATCCCTCCCCTGTAGTAGTAAGCATTGCCCAGCGCAAATCACCAACCCTGCAGCACCCACACCAACTCCCCACCCCCAAACGCACATCGAGGTATCCCGAGCTTGGACTCGCGTGTGGGCAGATCTTCATCCCTCCCCCGTAGTAGTAAGCATTGCCCAGCGCAAATCACCAACCCTGCAGCACCCACACCAACTCCCCACCCCCAAACGCACATCGAGGTATCCCGAGCTTGGACTCGCGTGTGGGCAGATCTTCATCCCTCCCCCGTAGTAGTAAGCATTGCCCAGCGCAAATCACCAACCCTGCAGCACCCACACCAACTCCCCACCCCCAAACGCACATCGAGGGATCCCGATCTTGGACTCGCGTGTGGGCAGATCTTCATCCCTCCCCCGTAGTAGTAAGCATTGCCCACCGCAAATCACCCACCCTGCAGCACCCACCCACACCAACCCCCCAAGCTCCCCAAACGCACATCCAGGGATCCCGAGCTGGGATTGGCGTGTGGGCAGATTTTCATCCCTCCCCCGTAGTAGTTAGCATTGCCCAGCGCGATCGTGGTGACTGCTGGCAGGGTTTCCCAGGGGCCATTGTTCCTCTGGGCATGGGCGAGGGGAAGGAGGGTGTGGTTGGGGTGGGAAGGGAATTAGCAAAAGGGAAATGAATGATCCCTCCCCCGTAGTAGTTAGTGTTGCCCACCGCGATCGTGGTGACTGCTGGGAGGGTCTCCCAGAGGCCGCTGTCCCTCTGAGGGATTTGCAGGGACAAGGAAAGGAGCGAGGCAAAAGGGAAGATGGAGCAAGGGCGGAGTGGCTAACATTGCCCACCACGATCGCGGTGTGGTGACTCCAGGAGGGAGGGCTTCCCAGGGCCGCTGTCCCTCTGTCGGGTGAAAGGAGGGGAGGGCGATGGAAGAGAAACGGGTGTAAATACAAAGTTCTTGCCATTGCCCACCGCGATTGTGGTGTGGTGACTGCTAGGAGGGTTTCCCATGGCCGCCTCTGACTCTTGAGAAGACTCTTGTCCCAAGTCAACTCATGATGGTTGGCTTTCGACAAAAGTACAATCAACGTAGATGGCTTTTGACTCAGCCCCAAGGACAGCAACACTCACCCTGATGCAAGCTATGTGGATCTTACTTTCGAGAATTCTCAAAAGTAAAATCCAGAGAGCATCCGACTCAGCCCCCCCAAGAACAGCAACAATCACCCTGTCGCCCAGCCCACGTCAACTCATGATGGTTCCAGTGCTCAGGAAAGGAGATAGCCTAGTGTCAACTTCAAAAGGTCGACGTTCCTAGTGTCAGAAGCGCTCACCCTGATGCTCAGGTCTACGTTCCGGTGCTTCGGAAAGGCTTTGAAAGCTGCCATGGCGTAGCAGAGGGGCCCCAGAGCCTTCAGAGAGACCGCTGCCCGCCCCACGCGCGCACTCCTGCAAGTCAAGGAGGAGACAGAAGGGCGAGTCAGAGGTGTAGAGTGTGGTTAAGATGGGTCAGTAGAGAGCGTTTAGGGCCTTCAGAGAGACCGCTGCCCGCCCCACACGTGCACTCCTGGAGGCAGCAAGGAGAAGAGCAGACAGAAGGGCGAGTCAGAGGCGTGGAGTGTGGTTGAGATGGGTCAGTAGAGAGCGTTGATGAAGCAGCGACTCATGTGCTCACATGTCAAGAGGCAACAGTGCTGCCAGCCACCCCCCTGGCTGACTCACAGGTGGTCACTGGCTCACATCGGCTCCCCCATTCAGCCACTCCACTCACAGGTGCACTCTAGCCACATTGATGAAGCAGCGGTCCATGGCACAGGCAGGCAGGTGCACTGAGCTCACATTAAGATGCAACAGGTGCAGGCAGGTAGATCAGACTCACATATGCTCCTCCTCTCATCCACTCACAGGTGCACGCTAGCCACATTGATGAAGAAGCGGTCCATGGCACAGGCAGGCAGGTGCACTGAGCTCACATTAAAATGCAACAGGTGCAGGCAGGTAGATCAGACTCACATATGCTCCTCCTCTCATCCACTCACAGGTGCACGCTAGCCACATTGATGAAGAAGCGGTCCATGGCACAGGCAGGCAGGTGCACTGAGCTCACATTAAGATGCAACAGGTGCAGGCAGGTAGATCAGACTCACATATGCTCCTCCTCTCATCCACTCACACGTGCTCCTCCTCTCATCCACTCACAGGTGCTCCTCCTCTCATCCACTCACAGGTGCACCTCCTCTCATCCACTCACAGGTGCACGCTAGCCACATTGATGAAGCAGCGGTCCATGGCACAGGCAGGCAGGTGGAGGTGCCCCACATCCACTGCCACGCGCTGCCCTGTGGTTGAAGGGAGGGAGACGGCGGGGAGCAGAGGGGTGGAGAGTGGTGTGGTGAGTGGGGGGCACCAATGAAAAGGGGGATGACAGGCAGGCAGCTGCAGGTGCCCCACATCCACTGCCACACGCTGCCCTGTGGTTAGGTAGCGGGATAAGAGAGGGGTGGAGAGCGGTGTGGTGTGATGAGGAGGATCACGAATGAAAAAGAGAGGTGGCAGGCAGGCAGGTGCCCCACGTCCACTGTCACGCGCTGCCCTGTGGTTAGGTAAAGGGAGAATAGAGGGGTGGAGAGTGGTGTGGTGTAGTGAGGATCATGAATAAAACAGAAGGGTGGCAGGGCAGGCAGGCAGGTGCAGTGCAGGTGCCCCACATCCACTGTCACGCGCTGCCCTGTGGTTCGGTAAAGGGAGAACAGAGGGGTGGAGAGTGGTGTGGTGTAGTGAGGATCACGAATGAAAAAGAGAGGTGGCAGGCAGGCAGGTGCCCCACGTCCACTGTCACGCGCTGCCCTGTGGTTAGGTAAAGGGAGAATAGAGGGGTGGAGAGTGGTGTGGTGTAGTGAGGATCATGAATAAAACAGAAGGGTGGCAGGGCAGGCAGGCAGGTGCAGTGCAGGTGCCCCACATCCACTGTCACGCGCTGCCCTGTGGTTCGGTAAAGGGAGAACAGAGGGGTGGAGAGTGGTGTGGTGTAGTGAGGATCACGAATAAAAAAGAAGGGTGGCAGGCAGGTGCAGTGCAGGTGCCCCACATCCACTGTCACGCGCTGCCCTGTGGTTCGGTAAAGGGAGAACAGAGGGGTGGAGAGTGGTGTGGTGTAGTGAGGATCACGAATAAAAAAGAAGGGTGGCAGGCAGGTGCAGTGCAGGTGCCCCACATCCACTGCCCTGCGCTGCCCTGGGGTTGGGTCGAAGCAAGGGACCCAGGCGGGTTGGTGAGGAGGAGGGATGAGAAGGGAGCAACAAGCAGGTAGCTCCAGGTGCCCCACATCCACTGCCCTGCGCTGCCCTGTGGTTATAGGAACCAGGGGGGTGGGGGGATGAAGAGTCAGGGGTGGTGAGGGGTGATAGGAGGCAGGCAGGCAGCTGCAGGTGTCCCACATCCACTGCCACACGCTGCCCTGCGATTGGGTTGGGGGGAGAGCAGAGGGGCGGAGAGTGATGTGGAGAGGGGCACTGATGAAAAGGGGGGTGGCAAACCAGCAGGTGAACGCAAACCACGTCCACTGCCCTGCGGTGAGTTTGGGTGGGGAGGTAGTGGATAGCAGAGGGATGGAGAGCGGTGTGGTGTGTTGAGGGCACCAATGAAAAGGGGGTTAGCTGTCAAGAAGTTGCGCACCAACGACCACAGCCACGCGCTGCCCTGCAGCTAGGTTGAGGGAGGGAAGGGCCAGGCGGTTGCAGCGGAGAAGGAAGGCTGAGCAGAGGGTGATGGGATGGAAGGACAGGCGAACGCGACCCACATCCACTGCCATGCACTGCCCTGTGGTTAGGTTGGGGGAAGAAGGGAGCAGAGGGCGGGTGGACATCAGGCCTGCGTCATCATACATACAGCATCATGAGAATTGTAGCGCACTGAGTCATATGAGTTGGTTGTTCATAATATTCCCACTCCCACACACACACCACCATGCAATACCGCATTGCTGTTGTGCTCACATGCAGAACAGAGTGTCTTCGTTATGTTGCACCATATGACACACGACACGTCACAGCACAGCACAGCACAGCACAGCACAGCACAGCACAGCACAGCACAGCACAGCACAGCACAGCACAGCACAGCACACCACACCACACCGCACCATGCAAGGCCGTACCTCGCGCTATTCTTGCCACCGAAGCCTTCACGTCATTGCTCCTCCTGCCGCCACACCACATTAAAAGCCACAACAACCAACATTCTGAGTCGATCCAAAGGTCATTTTCCTAACAACTCAGAACTCTGATGCAGCAGTGAACACTGGGTGGGTGCTGTGCTGGGCGGGTGCTGTGCTGGGTGGGTGCTGTGCTGGGTGGGTGCTGTGCTGGGTGGGAGCTGTAGCAAACAGAACTGACCAGCCAAAGGTTCGAGCAAAGTCGGCGCCGGTGCCGAGAGGAATGACCTGCAGAGGGAAGAGAATAGACAGGAGTGTAGGCAAAATTGTGGAGAGGGTTGGATGGCAGCGATGTGGATAACTCCAAACAAAACACAGCCAAAGGTTCCAGCAAAGTCGGCGCCGGTGCCAAGAGGGATGACCTGCAGGCAACGATGGTGCCATGGATGGATGGATGGATGGATGGATGGATGGATGGAGGACAGGACAGGGTTGGGTGAGTGAGTGAGTGGGTGGCAGCGGCGAAACTTGAGGTGCCTCAAATATTACCTGCAGGGAACAACGATGCGATGGATGGGGGACAGGGTTGGTTGGGTGGGTGGCAGCAACAAACGGGGCAGGAGCGAGCGGAGAAGTGGGTGGGGAATCGGGATGGATGAATGGGGCATGCACGAAACAGAAGTGCACCGAGTAGTAGCCAGAGGTTCAAACTGGCTAGAGCCAGAGGAACAGATTAAAAAGCCAGAGCCTGGCTGGCAGTGGCTGGCTGGCATCTTCGACCTTTGCGAAGATTCAAAGGGTGTCTCTGTGGGGCTGTTCTCTCTGCCATGCTGTTGCACGACTGCCTGCAAAATGATTCACCTCTCTGCACCTTGCCTTGTCTCCTCCATCTTCCATCTGCGTACCCCAAGAATCATCTTCTATCTGCATGGATTGCATACCCTAAGCGCTCTGCACGCATTGCATGGCATACCCCGAGTGCTGGTCTTCTGGTAACAGCATCAGTCGCTGTCGTCGCTTCACGGCCGTTTCGCTCGCTGTCACGTTGGGTATCCGCGTGTGAAGGCTCTGCCTGCTGCTCCCTGTGCGTCACTGACTGCTGCTCCCCTTCCCCAGTTCGCTGCTCTTGTTGTGCAACAGCTGCCCGAGGAACCACGGGCTGCCCGTTGGAGAAAAAACCATTAACGACCTGTTGTCCGGGCAGGTGAGGCGCAACGAAAGATGGAAGGCACAGCAGCTGTTATGCCTTTGAATCAATTTCAGGGCTGAAAGAAGCAATACATACCTCTGAAGCCTCCCTAAGCTTCAGATTGAATCATTCGAAAACAAGAATCCATTGACGCTTCGTGTGTGGGAGTTCCAAATTCTCTGCCCTGACATATCACAATTCAACAGAATGGCGTACCAATGCTAATGCAAATCAACTTTCCAGAACCGAGCGCTGAAGTAAACAGGCACTCAATGCCCAGGACTTCTCACAATCTTGGTTGAAAAAGACATCACCTCGTGCAGTGTGCCATCGCCCCCCACGGCCACCACAGCCTCTGCCCCCTGCTCCACCGCCTGCCCGCGGGGAGATGGGTGGTGTGGAAAGAGAAGACAGAAAGAGAGGATTGAATGTAGTTCACATCACCTCGTGCAGTGTGCCATCGCCCCCCACAGCCACCACCGCCTCTGCCCCCTGCTCTACCGCCTGCCCGTGGTGAGATGGGTGGATGGGGTGAGAGAATGGGATGTGTGGGGTGAGTGAGATGTGTGGGGTGAGTGAGTGAGATGATGTCTGGGGTGAATGAGATGCGCAGAGTGCCATCGTGCCCCCCAGCCAGCCACCACACCACCGCCTCTCTGCCCCCTTCTCCACTGCCTGCTCGTGGTGTGGCGAGACGTGTGGGGGGTGAGATGTGTAGGTTAGATGTGGGGGGTGAGATGTGTAGGTAAGATTTGGGGGGTGAGATGGAGATGCGTAGGCGAAGGGAGGATTGTGGGCGGGCAGGCTGGACGGTAAGGGATTATCAATAGACTGGTTGGGAGGAAAAGATTATGCTGAGCGTGATTAGAATGACGAAAAGAGGAAGAGATTTTCAAGAGGTGCACAAAGGAGACGAGGGGGGACAAAGAGAGAGGAGAGGAAGGGACGAGAGAGGAGAGGAAGGGACGAGAGAGGAGAGGAAGGGACGAGAGAGGAGAATGGAGGAGAGAAGGGCGGGGGGCGAGTGCATGGGAGCACCAGGAGTGCATGGTAGCATGGCGAACGCATTCAGCCATAAAAAACTCAAAGCGATCACCAACCGCCGTATGTACCCAAGGGAAGGTGGTGTGGTAGGCTCTGCTTGACAGCTCATTCGTATCTGTCGCCAGCTCACCCACCTTCCCTGCCACGTCACTCACCTCTCTTGCCAGCTCAGCAGCATGGTAGGGGTACTCCGTGAGGGCTTCGCGCACCTGCTCATGGCAAGGAAGATGGAGGTACTAGGTGATGATGATGATGATGAAGATGTTAACGATGCTTATCGCATGCAGGGGTGCAAAGACAGATGGACGGACGTAGGTGATGATGTGATGATGAAGATCATCTTGATGTCAATGATGTTAGTGATGCTTATCGCATGCATGGGTGCGAAGGGAAATTCAGGTTCAAGCTTCAAACCACAACACCCTCCACTCCCTCAAATCATCGCCGCCGTGTGTCTCACAGTAATCGCTTCCCCCAGCGACGTCTGCAGCAGCGGCTTCATCTCCTCCCATTTCTTGAACGTCCTGCCGCTGCCAGCTGCCAGGCAAAGAAGAGAATCAACAAAAGTGACTTCTGGGTCGACTCTAAGCAGTAGTAGTGGCTCTATCTCCTTCCACTTCGAGAGAACGTAATGCCGCTGCCAGCTGCCTAACAGGAATTCTGAAAAAGGACGTCGTAATTCAAGAGTTTAATCATTCTCTAGAAATGCAGGCTCTGACGGGCGCTGGATCACGCCACGCTCTTAACATCTACCGCGTCAGACCGTAACGCAGCAATAAATTATCGTAATAGACAAAATTGCCCGGGTTTGGCGTGGAAGTGCGCGCATTTCCCCTTAGTCGCACAAAATTGTGCTGAAAGCCCAGCAGATGTGACGTGACACCGCATCAGAGCGCGCGCCATTAGCTAATTGTCCAACTAGACGACGATTATGGCCTGCTGGCGTGCGACTTCTACCTTTAGGGTTAACGATAAAAACGTAAGTGCGTGGCTTATGGGAAATCGGCATTTCGCTGCTGCTCGCACGGGCGCCCAGGCGAACGACTCCTGGCGGAACCGTCAGGTTCACCGCGACGGCAGCCATTGAGCAATAATTGAGTGAGCAGCCCAGCACTCGACGATCTAGCATTCAGCAATGCAGTGGATCTCGAGCACAAGGGAGAAAAGCTATGTACTGAATGGATCGGCGTGATCACCAACAGAGGGTGTGCCTTGGAAAAGCTCCACTGCTGAAGTGCATCGACGCTTTGATCGCTGTCTGAGTGACTGAGAGGGAGTGTTATCTAAGTTGCATCTCTGACGAGGCGGAGCCACGGACTGCTGGTCCTAACATAAATTGTGTACAGAGCGATTCTCGATAAGCTTTACGATAATGTGGTGTATTTTGCATGAAGAATAACAAAGAAACGATGGATGATGCAAGCTTACATCTAACAAATCTTGTACGGATCTCTGAAATCAGAATCCAACAGAATCAAGTCTCAAAATAATAATAATCATCATCATAATAATCTCAACATATACTGAGATCCAAGCCGAAAACCAGTTTCATTTATTGTGATAGTGATATTAGGTTTGTAAAGGCTCGTAATGTACTCACTATATCAACCATTTATTTGAAGAGCAGTTACAGCAATGGACCCAACAGAAGAGAGTAGGGGTGTAAGGATTTACAAATCCTTACTGAGGCGCTCGATAGCGAGGCCATCCCGAGGGCCACGCGACCAACTGGTTCGGCCTACAATTTCGCATCCCAACCTCACCGAGCCGCCTCCGCACCAATCGCGACACTTCGCGAGCCAACTCTACCACACCATCCCCGCCTAGCTAGGTTTTCCCCTATTTAGGCCTCGCTACTTCATTGTTCAGGCATTCGGTAATTCTCATTGTCGTTATTCGATATCTGCGCACTCTGACAAGTTCATTCATAACACCTGGTATCAGAGCTACTTTCCTAGCCTACCCCGTTTTTTAGAGTGTATTACCCCTCGGGGGGGGGACGAGTAAGGATGCCTTGGGGTCCAGGAGTTGCGTAGGCCGGCCAAGAGAACTCGTTAGTTGCTCTTCGCGGCCATGGTTTTACGGGGCACTCCTTCGGCACCGCCAGATCCTTAGCTCGAACGGTCGCGATCGACCGTGGCCTCCCTCCCCCCGGGCAACGGACAGCTGGAGCTGTCGCGACTCTGAACGTGAGTTACTATTTCCGCTGCGGTTTTAACGACGATTTCGAAACTGTGAGGCAGCTGGCGTCAGCGGATCTGCGTCGGCACCTGCACGAAGATTTCGGAAGTCGTCACGATGTGTGGCAGTTGACGCCGTCGGACCCGAGTCAACAACTGCTGCGACAACTTCGGAGTCCGTCCCATGCGGCAAGTGACAACGGTGGCTCGTCGTCATCATGCGCGCGCGACTCACGGAGTGTGGCTCGGCAGCTGGCGACAAGGAACGTGCGTCACTGTGGCGAAAATTTCGGAGCTTCTGTTGAAGAAAACGTCGGCTGGGGAACTCGCCAGGCGCAAAAGGAGTTTGCGTCCGAAAATGTCGGTGGCGAGGAGAGACGACACAAGACTGCCCGACTTCGCGGGAGTTAACTGCCGTCCCGCCCGACCTGTTAAGTGCGGCAGCTTTTACTGCATTGGCGGGCGCGTCATCAACAAATTCGGCAGGAGTGCTCGTGGACAGACGGGACTTCATACCTGCTGACGCTTACGGGCTGCAACGGAAAACGCGATGGCTAAACCGCACTTACGAGGAGTGGGACGCAGGCGACGAGGGAAATCGGGGCAGGTACACCTCGAAAGAACTCGTGCGACGCTGCGTGCCTGGTGTTGTTGCAAGCTGGCCGGCAGTATCGAGAACAGTTTCCCCTGACCAAGGATGTTGTTTTCGGGGACAGCTGCTGACAACCCACGGTTAAACGGTGTCCAAGGTACCGCCCGATAATTTCGGAGGGGTCGGTACAGGCTGCCGGGACACGCGAGAAGAAACGGCCCAACGGCTAAGCGGGGGTTGAAGAACGTTGCGGGGGCAGATTAAAAGCCGGTGGAATCGCTCTGCGGCCCTACTTCGCCCGAACCTCACCATCCCCACCAAGTCCTGGTTCTGACTCATGCAGTCAACCTACTTGGCCGAATAACGGGGGTGAACACGTGGCCTACCCTGCGCTGGTTAAAGGTACCGGGATTGGTGCCCGTTCGACAGCTGTACAGAAAAAATACAAAAAAAAAGTGGAGCTCGCGGCACTGTTCTACTCCGACAAAAGCGGGCTGGGTGAACGGCACGCGAAAAAGTCGGGGAGCTGCGAAGAAGAAATGGTGCAGTCTACAGGTTTCTCCTGACCCGGGCGTCTACACGAATCGACGGCGCGGCGGCGAAGCTGAGACCGGGAAGCTGTGGATTTTACGTGACGTGATAGGCACGGCGGGCTGCAAAACGGTTGGGCGACAGTTTCCTTTTAACTAAGGCTGCCCCGACTCCGATAGTTTTTGCCTCTCCACCGTGGCCGAGTTCGCGTGGGCAACAACGACGATACCCCATCCGACAAAAGCGGACGCTGGGTGAACGGCGGGAAGCGGAATTGTCGGGGGGTGAATACGAAAAAATTGATGACGGAAGGGAAAGTTGTGGGTGATCCAGCAGATCACTTGAGTGATAGGTTGAGCCCGTGCACCAATCTACCGCGAATTTCGGAGTCTATTCGGTAGACCTCCGAAAGGGTTTGATATCGTTACATGGAGGCGCGGCGAGCGGTACATTGCCAAGGATACCTGGGATTCGCTAAGTAGTCCGGCGGGTACGAAGATGGGTGAACATCGGAGTACCAGGGAAAAAACGGCGGAAACGTCGGGGCTATACGGCGGAGAATAACTTCGGGACTGCAGCCTCAACCACGATTTTCGGGGTTATCTTCCTACGAAAAAAAAAAGGAGTTGAAGCTGAGGGTGTTTTCTTCGTTTCTTGGAGTGCGGTTGATACCTAGGACCCACGGGTGTTTAAACGTACACCGCGGGAAATTCTTCAGGGAGCGTGGGAGCAGCCGAGGCTTCGGGATTTACCTGCCGGTGACGCGCGATGAGGTGAAACATCGCAAAGCGCCAGTGGGAGTTTGCGTGGTTTTCAGTTAAGCGACATCGACGGGAGCAGTTTCGACGACGGGGTCAACGGCGTTGATGCCTCTAGGTTCCGTGAAATTCGGTCTCGGAAGACCTTGGGCAGTCCCCGGTTCTCGATTTAACCCACATGCTGGGGTCGGGTAACCGAAGGAAACTGATGGTGACCGGGTGGGCGGCTATAGCACGTCTGAGATTTTCGGAGGAGAACTGCACCTAGACCTGTGGATTTACGGGGCTACTTCTCGAGCGACGATTTCGGAGTTTGACGAAGGACTTCACGGTTTTACGGTGAAAGCGCGGCAATTTTGTGGCAGTACTTTCGAAGTTTGGTTACACGCGCGCGAAATTTACGCAGGGCAACGGCGCGGGAACTACACGGACTTTTCAAGGGGTACGAACGACTTACGACGAACTGGAGAAGGCGGCGGCAACAGTGACGGGGGGGGAGAGACAGCTGCAAATTTTCATCCCTGCCCACGAACTCTCGGCGGATTACGACAAAATTCTTGGAGAATCCATCCCAACTCTGCTTCCAACAACTCGCCATCGACCCGCCCACGACAAACATATTTAATTTCAGCCACGTCAGGTGCTGCCAGCTGCAACTGCTGCGGATGCTGCATGATTCTGGCGATGTGAAGACAAAAAGCTTCAGTTCGAGTACTCGGCAATTTCGGTTTCGGTTTCTGGTCTACTTTCGCTGGTTCGCCCTTGACGACTTTTGGGCACGTAATTCCTGGTTTCGACATCGACATTTCCACACCGACGCATTTTCACTTGGGTTCCTTCCATCAACGGCTTCCTTCGTGGGACTTAACACCCGGTTTTGTTTGTTTTCATCTCGGCGCAGCTGCTGGAACTTTTATGGTGTGTTTTCTTGGAGTGGGGGAGAAAGTGCTTCGCACTGTTCTTTCCTTGGCGTTTTCTTGGTCCTTTTCTGACTTTGTCAGGTTGCGTCAGCACGACGAACGACTACGATTGCTGCTTCACGATCAACGATCCCTACTCAATCGCGTTTGAATTCGCGTCAGCAGGTTCCCTCCAAAATCGCATCTGCCTCGACCGTCAGATTCGCTGCTGCTCGATCAACGGCCCACATTCCAACTTCCACTTCATTTTGGGCCAGCTCATCCTCATCCGTCAGATCGACATCTGACTGCATCTACGGCCCACAATCCAACTTTCATTACATTTGGGCCACTTCATCTTCGACCGTCAGATCGAAATCTGACAACATCAACGGCCGACATTCCAACCTTTTCAACAATATTGTCTGGGGCATTTCAGCCGTCGGATTCAGCTGAAGTGAAGATCAACGGCATCCTCGCTACTGGGTGACCCTTTTCAGTACAGGGCTGCCTTATTTAGGAGGTGGGAGAGTGTAAGGATTTACAAATCCTTACTGAGGCGCTCGATAGCGAGGCCATCCCGAGGGCCACGCGACCAACTGGTTCGGCCTACAATTTCGCATCCCAACCTCACCGAGCCGCCTCCGCACCAATCGCGACACTTCGCGAGCCAACTCTACCACACCATCCCCGCCTAGCTAGGTTTTCCCCTATTTAGGCCTCGCTACTTCATTGTTCAGGCATTCGGTAATTCTCATTCTCGTTATTCGATATCTGCGCACTCTGACAAGTTCATTCATAACAAGGGGAGCCAGAACGACATGGGCATTTTTTAGGACATTTACCTATCATCCTGCTTTCCTACTACTCCTCCCTCGCCCTTCACTTGTTGCTCTTATCAAGCAGCTTATTCGCCTTCGCTACCTTCGCCTGCTTCATCACCTTCTCCTTCTCAGAAACCTTATCCTCGCCCCTCGTATCCTCCTCGGTACTTCTTCGTATTCTCTCTTATTCCCTAGTTCCTCTTATTCTCCTCGTCCTTCCTCTTGTTCTCCTCGTCCTTCCTCTTATTCTCCTCGTCCTTCCTCTTATTCTCCTCGTCCTTCCTCTTATTCTCCTCGTCCTTCCTCTTATTCTCCTCGTCCTTCCTCTTATTCTCCTCGTCCTTCCTCTTATTCTCCTCGTCCTTCCTCTTATTCTCCTCGTCCTTCCTCTTATTCTCCTCGTCCTTCCTCTTATTCTCCTCGTCCTTCCTCTTATTCTCCTCGTCCTTCCTCTTATTCTCCTCGTCCTTCCTCTTGCTCTCTTCATCCTTCCTCCCATTCTCCTCGGCCTTCCTCCTATTCTCCTCGTCCTTCGTCCTATTCTCCTCGTCCTTCCTCTTATTCTCCTCGTCTTTCCTCCTATTCTCCTCATCCTTCCTCTTATTCTCCTCATCCTTCCTCTTATTCTCCTCATCCTTCCTCTTATTCTCCTCATCCTTCCTCTTATTCTCCTCATCCCTCCAATCATGCCCCTCATCCTTCCTCTCTTCCTTCTCCCTCTTCAGCATCCTCCTCGTATTCTCCGCTGCCACGTCAGCATCCGCGCCTTCCCCCCGCAGCGCGGAGAGCATGGCGTCCGCCGCCATATCGTGAACAGCCCCCGCATGCGGCGGCTCCTCGTTTACCTCCATGAGAGCGCGCATCTTATAACGGATCGCTCTCACATTCGTGTCTTCGCGCACGTCTGTCGAAAGCGCCTCGCGTGAGCCGAGCAGGCTATGCCCGAAAATTGAGGCGAGGCTGGGGATAACGAAATCCGCCGTCACGGCCGCTGGCAGGTGAACGGCGACTAGAAGCGTACAAAGAAGCACCAAGAAATTCCGAAGCGCGGCCATGGTTGTTGAAACTTCCGATCAATACTACTAGTAATATTAGTATGAGTATTAGCACTTGGTGCTATTGCTGATGGACCGAATGCTACTGATGGAGATAATCGGAAGGGCGAGCAGCTAAATACTGCTGCGAGCTCATTGTGGGGGGGGGCATCGCTCGGCTTGTACGACAGCTGAATGCGCCGGGTAAGGAACTTCGAAGCGCGCGATTATCAGTGCGATTTTTGCGCTGTGAGGGACGTTGCGGCGTGTGAGCAGCGTTATGCCTATTTCGCCAGGCGGGAAGCTTCGAAGGATGCGATTATTGGTGCGGTATGGCGCTGCGAAAGGATGGTGGTGTCAAGTGTTGAGCATCTCCATCATGAAAAAGGCGCACTGTTTTGGTGGTGCGCTTTCGCGTATTTCGTTCGCGAAGCTGTGTGCTTGGCGACCAAGGCAAGAATGTTGCCGTCACCCTGTGCTTTAGCGAAACTCGAATCAAAGCACTTGCGAGTTACCCTCGCGAAGCCCATCCCAACATCGGCAAGGCAGGATCTTGGAATTTCGGGAAAGTGTGCAAACAAATAATTGCGCGGTTCGCCTTTATCGCCGCGCAGCTTGCCTTCAATCTCGCTGGTTCGCGTTATAAGTTCACGCTATAGCACTGTGTGACGAGGGGTAACATATTATTGCTATAAATAACAGCGAACTTCTCAGAGAACAAACTCCATATAAAGGGCATCACCCTCAGGCCAAAATAAGGCAAATTTACAAAATCGCTAAGACATGCACTTGTGCTTGTGCTTCTCTACAGGGGAACGGAAAATAACGTTTTGCGGAATAACAGAATGACAACCAGGGCTTCAGATTCGTTTTGGGCCACCCTTAGTAATCAGGGTTCTAGGTATAGTCAACCCTGATGCGTAGGGTAAAATTTTTGTGTCCCTGACAAAAGAAGGGTAAATAAAAAGTTAGTCTGTTTGGCCATAGTTTTTTTAAAAAGGTAGCTCAAATAATAAACACAAACTTATGAGGTACTTAGTGGCTCAGTTGGTTAGATAACAGGTAACGTGGGAGAGATCGTAGGTTCAAGTCTCGCTGTCGGAAGTATTTTGCATGGGCCTATATACGATTTCGTCTCGCTACAGAGCATTCGGTAGCAGTATAACTAAGATTGTACAGTATACAGTCAGGGGAAAAAGTTCCATACTCTGTTTTTCAAAGGGTACAAGAAAACTTACACTTTCTGGCCTAGGGTAAAAAATTCGTTACCCTGCCTGTGAAAGGGTAACTGAAAAAAAGCGGCCGCCAGTCAGTGCAAAAAGGGTATTTTACCCTGATAACGAGAGGCCTGATGACAACGGAACAAGCGAAAAATGAGCCACGCCCTCACCTAAAATAGGCTCGGAAGGAAGGGTGGTGGGAGATGAGGTGAGGGGGGGACTTGGGACTGGTTTTGGGTAGAGATTGTTTGATTTCAAACGGTGTCGAATTCATCGTTCAGTTTACGCTTGCGCAACGCGAGCCTGTCATCTCTGTAACGGGGGTTCAAACAGTGAGTGGACAAAGTGGGTGGACGGGAAGAACATTACCACCTCTACCACATACGGTAACACTAAACAAATTAAGGATCACAATGAACACAATGCACGAGGATAACTTGTCACTATGGGTAACACATTAACAAATGAAATCCATACCTGTTTAGCTTTGGTCTGGGTGGCAGAACCGACCCTGGAGGAAACACGACCGTATCAACCGACATCGGCGCTCCATCCCCTCCCCCGGTAACCGCCGTAACCATCGTCACCTCACTCGGTGTCTCCCCTTCCGCCCCACTCCCCTCCACTGCTCCTCTCCCATCCCTCCCCTCCCCAGCAGCCTCCCCAGCCTTCCCTCTCCCTCCCTCTCCCCCCTCGCTCTCTTCTATTCCTGGTTGATAGGAAATGCGAACGGCCTTAGTGGCAGGTGAGAGGTTGCGGGGATAGTGGGGTGACTCTACTGAAGGGGGGAGATGCCTCCGCCCTGAATTAGCACCAGCTGCCGCTGCTGCTCCTGCTGCCTCACCAGCCGTCCCTTCCCGTTTCGCATCACCACCAGCACCAGCAGCAGCACCGTTGGCAGCATCAAGAGCAGCAGCTGCTGCATCTGGGGCGAGAGGGGCCAGGCCGACAGGGATGGAGCCGGGAGGGAAGTCGCTGGCAGAGGGCTTTGGGGGCGGGCGAGGCAGGTCCTTGGGCTTGGTGGCTGGTGGACCGAGGAGGAAGTAGCTGGGAGGCAGGGGAGGGGGGATATGTGGGTGTGGGGAGGATGAGAGAGGCAGGCGGGGTGTAAGAGACTGGGGTGGAAGAGGGAGGGCGAGGCAGGTCCTTGGGCTTGGTGGCTGGTGGGCCGAGCAGGTAGTAGCTGGTGGGGGAAGGGGGATGGGACAGGGGAGAGAAGAGGGGAGTGTAAGTGACAACGGTGGGGGAGGGCGCAGCAGGTCCTTGGGCTTGGTGGCTGGTGGGCCCAGCAGGAAGTAGCTGGGAGGGGGGGTGGTGGGAGAGAATAGAGAAGGAGAGAGAGGGGATGGGGGCGGGCGGGTGGCTGGCAAGGCTTCTAATTCTGCTTCCAACTGAAAAGGACAGGGGGCGCAAGGGAGGTACTTCCAATTCTGTAAGGCCTGAGCAGCGGTGATGCGCTTGTTTGGATCAAAGGTGAGCATGCGGGAGAGCAGGTCTGAAGCATCGCCACCAGTCACGGGGAAGTGCGACTTGAGGGCGGCATCACGCTTGATTGAGCGAGCATGCACGCATATGTGCTCACCGGTGCTGCAAGGCTTGTGCGGCTGTGATGCCCTTGTTAGAATCAAAGATGAGCATGCGGGAGAGCAGGTCAAGAGAAAGCAAATCCCTAGACGCCTAGTCCCTCTTACTTACCGGTGCTGTAAGGTCTGAGCCGCTGTGATCCTCTTGTTGGGGTCGAACGTGAGCATGCGAGACTGGAGGTCTAAGGCATCATCGCCAGCCATGGGAAAGTGTGACTGGAGGGGCGGCAGCACTGCACTTGGCAGACTACACTACACTGCACTGTACTGCACTGCACTGCACTGCACTACAGTGGATGCATGCATGTGTAAGCCTATGTGAGTGCACACCCCAGTTACTCAGTGGTGCTGCAGGGCTTGTGCAGCTGTGATCCTCTTGTTGGGGTCTAACGCGAGCATGCCAGAGAGCAGGTCTAAGGCATTGTCGCCTGGGGAAGTGCGACTTGAGGGGCGGCAGCAGTGCATGTGTAACACACTGCATGCATATGAGTGACACCCACGGGTGCTGCAGGGCTTGTGCAGCTGTGATCCTCTTGTAGGGGTCTAACGTGAGCATGAGAGAGACACAGCAAGTCAAGAGCATCAGCATCATCCCCCTCCATGGGAAAGTGTGACTTGAGGGGCGACTGCACTACCATGCATATATGGCGGTACTGAACGCGTATGAATGACTCACGCACCGGTGCTGCAGGGCTTGGGCGGCTGTGATCCTCATATTCGGGTCAAACGTGAGCATGCGGGACAGCAGGTCGAGAGCATCGTCTCCAGCCATGGGGAAGTGCGACGTGAGGGGCGGCGCCGGGCAGAAGCCTAAACGAGCATGCATGCATATGTGTGAGTGTGTAAACGCACCGGTGCTGTAAGGCCTGAGCAGCAGTGATCCTCCTGTTTGGGTCGAAGGTGAGCATGCGGGAGAGCAGGTCAAGAGCGTCGTCGCCAGCCATGGGGAAGTGCGACTTGAGGGGCGGCGCCGGGCAGAAGTCAAAAGAACTGCATACACATGTGTGTGTGCTCACCGGTGCTGTAAAGCTTGAGCAGCAGTGATGCGCTTATTGGGGTCAAAAGTGAGCATGCGGGAGAGCAGGTCTAAGGCATCATCGCCAGCCATGGGGAAGTGCGACTTGAGGGGCGGCGCCGGGCAGAAGTTGAAATGCACGTAGTCGGGCAGGCACTGCATGTCCGGCCATTGGTCCTCCCGCGGCGTGCCCAGGGCAGCAAAAATTTTACCCAGTTGATCGATGTCGCTTGATCCCTGAGAGAGGTGTGGGAGAAGGGAGGGGGGAAGGGGCGAGGAGAAGGGGAGAGACATCAGGAAGAGGTGTCAAAGGGAGGGGAGGAGAATGGGGAAGGAATGAGAGACCTGGAGAGGAGGGGAGATGCATCAAAAGGGGGAGAGGAACGAAGAAGTTGAAATGCACGTAGTCGGGCAGGCACTGCATGTCCGGCAATTGGTGAGAGGGGAGAGGGAAGTGGTGTCTAAGGGAGGAGAGGGAGGAGAGGCAGGGAGGCAGAAGTTGAAATGCACGTAGTCGGGCAGGTTCTGCATGTCCGGCCATTGGTCCTACCGCGGCGTGCCCAGAGCAGCAAAAATCTTCCCCAATTGGTCGATGTCGCTTGATCCCTGAGAGATGCGGCGGAGAGGTATGGGAGAGGGAACGGGGATGCCATGGTGGGGGGAAGCACGATGTGACGTGTAAGGGAGGAACGGGAGCGTAGTTCACTGGAGTGCCGTAGCAGCTCCACACACAAGCAGACACGAGGACACTTGTAGTAAGAAGGGCACACTTTTGTTGCTGCCACACCAAAGAGAGTTTATTTTGAAGCAGCTCGTAACACATTCTACCAAGAGCGATAGAACCACATGATAACCGGATAGTTTCGAAACGTTTCAAACCAGACCCCACCTGGTGGATCAGCTTGCTCGCTGGCTCTGCACGAAGATAGGGCTTACCTGCAGGAAGGGCCGTCGCAGCAGCAGCTCTGCAAACAAACAGCCAGCGCCCCACACGTCCACGCCTTGCTTCCAAAGAGCAGCTCAGGCGCCCGGTACCACAGCGCAAACACCTGGTGGGTGAGCTTGCATATTCTAGGAGTAGCAGAGAAGCGGAGAGCAGAGGAGAGTAGGGCATACCTGTAAGAAGGGCCGTCTAAGCAGCAGCTCTGCAAACACGCAGCCAGCGCCCCACACGTCCACGCCTGATCCGTACGCCTTGCTGCCGAACAGCAGCTCTGGGGCCCGGTACCAGAGAGCGAAGACCTGGTGGGTGAGCTTGCGGTCGGGGCTGCCGAAGAGGCGAGCGAAACCGAAATCAGCAATCTTGAGCTCGCCTGTTGGGCCGATCAGGAGGTTGTTGGGCTTCATATCTCTGCTTGGATAGATTGGGAAGGTGTGGGGAACGGTGGGGTTGGGTGGGAAAGGGTGGGAAGGGTTGGGAAGGGAAGGATCGGGTGGGGAAGAAGGGGCAGGAAAGGGGGGGCCCTGGTACCACAGCGCGAAGACCTGGTGGGTGAGCTTGCGGTCGGGGCTGCCGAAGAGGCGAGCGAAACCGAAATCAGCAATCTTGAGCTCGCCTGTTGGGCCGATGAGCAGGTTGTTGGGCTTCATGTCCCTATGGGGGGGGTGGTGGGGAGAGGTGGGGAGGTGGGGAGGTGGGTGGTTGCACGGGGGACACGAAGAAGGGGGCCAGGGAGAAGCGATGAAATCAGCTATCTTGAGCTCCCCTGTGGGGCCTACGGGCAGATTGTTGGGCTTCACATATCCCTGCGTGGGCGAGGAGGGGAGGTGGGTGGGAGTGGGTGGGGAGTGGGTGGGGAGTGGGTGGGGAGTGGGTGGGGAGTGGGTGGGGAGTGGGTGGGGAGTGGGTGGGGAGTGGGTGGGGAGTGGGTGGGGAGTGGGTGGGGAGTGGGTGGGGAGTTGTGGGCTTGAAGGCCTGTGGGGCTTATAAGAAGATTGTTGGGCTTCATGTCCCTGCTAAATTGGGTAGGTGTGGGACGGGGCAAGGGGGAGTGGTTGGAGGTGGGGGATGGTGAGGGATGAAATCAGCGATCTTGAGCTCGCCTGTTGGGCTGATGAGCAGATTGTTGGGCTTCATGTCCCTGTGGGGGTGGGGGTGGAGGTGGGGAGGGGTGGCGATGCTAGCCCCTCTAGTGTGATGCGCACGAACGCCTTGATGTCACGTGGAGAAAGGTGCAGGGGGTACCTACCTCCAGCCCATCCCATACCACACCTCCCAGCCAGCCGTCACCAGCACCCACCTGTGCAGCACCCACCTGTGCAGCACCCATTTGCCGTGGAGGTATGCTAGCCCCTCTAGTGTCATGCGCATAAACGCCTTGATGTCGGCTGGGGATAGGTACAGCGAACAGTCCTTGATAATGTTCTGAGAGAAAGGGGGGGGAGGGGAAGTGGGGGGAGGGTTGAGAGAGGAGGACCGAGGCAAGAAAAGGGGGGAAAAGGAAGAGGCGGACAGAGGGCTAAAGGGAAGGAAAGGGAGGGAGAGTCATGCGCATGAATGTGCCTTTATTTCCCCCGGGGAGAAGTGCAGCGAGCGATACTTGATGATGTTCTGAGGGGGGGGAAAGAGGGCGGAGGAGCGAGAGGGGCGACTACATAGATGTCAATGATTTATGAGACGTCTCAAAATATGTCAATGATTAATGAGACGTCTCAAAAGATGTCAATGATTTATGAGACGTCTCAAAATATGTCAATGATTTATGAGACGCCTCAAAATATGTCAATGATTTATGAGACGTCTCAGAAGATGTCAATGATTTATGAGACGTCTCAAAATATGTCAATGATTCATGAGACGTCTCAAAAGATGCCAATGATTCATGAGACGTCTCAAAAGATGTCAATGATTTATGAGACGTCTCAAAATATGTCAATGATTTATGAGACGTCTCAAAAGATGTCAATGATTTATGAGACGTCTCAAAAGATGTCAATGATTTATGAGACGTCTCAAAATATGTCAATGATTTATGAGACGTCTCAAAATATGTCAATGATTTATGAGACGTCTCAAAAGATGTCAATGATTTATGAGACGTCTCAAAATATGTCAATGATTTATGAAACGTCGCAAAAGATGTCAATGATTCATGAAACGTCGCAAAAGATGTCAATGATTTATGAGACATGAAACGTCTCAAAATATGTCAATGACCTCCCTCAGTGTTGGAGCACAGGCTCCGAGGTGACATTTGAGTCATCTTAAAAGCCACCTGCTGAAGCACCAATCCTGCCACACCCCTCCCCTCCCTTAGTACTGAAGCACAGGCTCACGAGGTGACATCTGAGTCGACTCAAAAGTCAGCACACACAGACTCTGAGGCGCACCTCCACATCCGCCCCCATTGACTCATGAACGAGATTTAAATTTTCTTACGTGGGCATGCGTCAATTGCTGAGCTCAATGACGTGTGGGTGGTATGATGCAGTGCTCGACTCAATGATTGAGATCGTCCTAGGTCTAACATCTCTAGGTCTGAGGTTGCCATATGTAATGACACGAGACAAATTTCTTGCTATTTTTGCATGGTAACGAGATGTTTGGGATGGTAGAGTTATTTCTGATAAAGAAACATGTATGCCCATATAAGACGGAGGGAACCTTACAGTGGGTTGTCATGCCCTAACCTCATATGGACTTGTGTGTTTCTATCAAATATAAAAAAACTCTCCTCAACAGCTTGTTTCTATGCAAAAATAGCAAAAAACTTGTCGCGTGTCATCGCATATGGCAACCTCCGACATAGATATTGCGAGTTTCTATCTATTGGGTCCAATGCAGCAGGTTTAGAAGGCGTGATTCGTACCTCTGCTGCTACGAGAAAGCAGACGGTAGGACGACCCCCCAATCGGTGAGGGAGCAATAGATGAGGGCAGGACAAGAATAACGACATAAACTCGAAAACGAGGCTCATGTTCTTGTTATGCGAGTGGGTTAATTGATACCACTGACCTCGATCACGTGCGGGCGGAGCAGAACAAGCAGCTCCCTTAGTGCTAATCCAACACAGAACATGCTTTGAGAGGCTCACCTCCAAATCTGTCTTCATGAACTTAAGCATCGCATTAAGGTCTCCTCTTGTTGTGCGGGTAGATGGCGATAAGCTCAATGAAGTTTGGGTGGCGCAGCTCCTTCAGTGGGGGATTACATGTCTATCCATGAGCTCTCCATGGCCAAGCATAAGCTCACCTCTAGATCCGTCTCCATGAACTCAAGTTCAGGTTCCTCTTGTGAGGATAGATGTTGATGAGCTCGATGAGATGGTGCAGCAGCTTGGACTCCCTCGAGGTAGCTTCCCTCTCTCTTCACACTAGGGGCTCACCTCTAGATCCGTCTCCATGAACTCAAGAACTAGGTTCAGGTTTCGCTTGTGAGGGTAGATGTCGATGAGATCAATGATGTGAGGGTGGTGCTGCACCTGTAACAGCTTGATTGATCTCTCTCAGAGCTGTCACGTCCACCTCACTCACCCCTTCTTTTTCCCCAACATGTTTGGCTCACCTCTAAGTCTGTTTCCATGAACTCAAGAACCAGATTGAGGTTCCTCTTGTGAGGATAGATGTCAATGAGATCGATGATGTGCGGGTGGTGCAGCTCCTGCAGCAGCTTGATCTCCCGCAGAGCCGTCACGTTCACGCCCTCCTTGCAGTCGCCCAGATGAATCTTCTTTATTGCGACCGTCTTGCCCGTCTGCAGAGAGGGGATGGGGAGAGCGGAAGTTGGGGCGAGCAGCAGCTTCATCTCCCTTCATCATAGCCAATGTTGGAAAATACGCGACCAGCGTACGGAACGCGTTCGAACTATACGCTACCGTACATTCGTGATACGCTGACTTCCAGCGTACAAAAAAACCCGAAATACGGGGTGCCGGGCAGGCAAAAAGATTCTTCGGGCAGGTATAAAACACTTCAGTGGAGGTAGAATCCTTTAGGAGATTTTTTTTCCCTAGATGCTCGCTGATGCGGATAATCTCCTGGGCGTTTCTGCCATAAGGAACTCTGAAATGTTTGAGGGATCGTTGGCCAGAACGCCCTGAAGATCCTGCGATGTGACGCTTAAGCCACAATAACAGACGCGGCATTGGCGGTCGACATAGCTGTTTGAAGCTACATCGTAGATTAAGAAGTGACGTAGAGTAAAATAGGTGTGAAGCAATTGAGATACGAAAGGCTGTTGTACTCTCGCCGACGTAAAAGCTGATAGCTGCAAGTGGTTGGTGGGAGGGAAAGGTTGGGTTTGGGAGGTCGTGTGCGGTGATGTGCAGTGGAAAAGGGGGGTGGGGATCAATTCGAGTCTCGAATGTCAAATTTAGGTTTCACAGAATCGCAGATCGCGAAAATGGCGGAACATAGTTTTTTTTTTTTCGGGCTGCCCGACCTAACCGTATCGCGTATTCTGGACGTATCACGTTTTTTCGTATATACGTTTCCGTACAAACGTGATACGCGAATAATTCTTAGCGTATAGTGCAACATTGATCATAGCCCTCCTTGCAGTCGCCCAAATGAATCTTTTTTATTGCGACCGTCTTGCCCGTCTGCAGGGCATGTAAGGGACTCACGCAGAACACAATAAGGGGGCAAGGGGTTGACAGGGAGTGTGGCAATTTGATCTCTCAGTGCCCTCCTTGCAGTCGCCCGGATGAATCTTCTTTATTGCCACTGTCTTGCCCGTCTGTAGAGAGGGGAAAGGAGGATGGAGAGAGGGGAGGACGGCGAGTACAGCAGCTTCATCTCTCTCAGTGCCATTTTTGCAAACACCCAGGTGAATCTTCTTTATTGCCACTGTCTTGCCTGTCTGCAACACATGTAAGGGACATAGGAGGTGAGGGAAACACACATGTAAGGGCCTCACACAGGACAGGATAAGTGGGAACGGGGTGGGGGGGAGTGCCGCGATTTGATCTCCCTCAGAGTCGTCACGTCACATCACATGAAGCCATTCATGTGAACGTGCGGGCAAGGGGCAACGAGTTGAGGCCCTTCTCCCCCCACCCCTTACATGGGGCAATGAGGTTGGACAAGGGTGCTCAGCAGCCTGAACATTTAGCCGTATAACTATTGACAATTATCAAAAGTAACAGGAGCAAAGGAGTGGGGGAAGGGGAGTGCATCAGCCCAGCCTTTCTCACTTGTTTTGCAGACATTCCCTTCTCGAGTGTCAAGCCTTTCACTCACATACCACCCTCGACCTTTGGGGCGACCCATCTCGCCCCAAACGCACTCAACGGTCTCACATGTGTCTCGAGGTGACTTTTGAGTCGACTCAAAAGTCACCTCGCTCGGCTTAAACGCGACCCCAACCGTTCCCCTTATAAGCCTTTCCCTCTTCATTCACGCTCCCCTTTCTCAAAGTACGAGTGAGTGAATAAAGCATGTGAACTTCAGCACACAAACGAGCACTCAAGTCTCTCAAGTGAAAGCGACTCACATGTGTGTCGTATGCATTGAGAGGGGTTTGAGGCCGGGTGGGGGGGTGAGGGGGCGGGGGGGGTGTAGCAGGGACCATGGGGAGAAGAATTGGTGGGAGCATCAGCTGAGATGAGAGCGACTCACATCACATGTGTGTAGCAGGGACGATATGTGTGGCATACGCCGTCAACGCGAATCCAAACGTTCCCTTCCCGAGTGTCACCCCTTTCACATATCGCCTGCCCCCTGTTAGCTCTTGCCCGTATCGCAAGCACCCGAGTCTCACATGTGTGTTGTCTGTCTTAAACACGACTCCAAACCAAAGGAACCCTTTCCGAGTGTCACCCCCTTTCACGTATCGCACATCCCCTGTTAGCCGCCCCATCTTGCCCAGCAAAGCAATCACATGTGTGTTGTCTGTCTTGAACACGGCCCTGAACGTTCCCTTCCCGATTTCCACCCCCTTAAAGCCTAAATGAGCACTCGAGTCTCACATGTGTGTCGTACGCCTTAAACACGATCTCAACCTTTCCCTTGACAAGCGCTTCCCACTTCATTCGAGTCCCACATTCTCCCCTTCTCGAAGTGCAAGTGGAAAAAGCATCTCGTTGAGCAAACAAAGTCTCTCAAGTGAGTGAGGGCGACTCACGTGGGTGTCGTATGCCTTGAACACGACTCCAAACGTTCCCTTCCCAAGTGTCACCCCCTTCACGTATCGCCCTCCCCCTGTTAGCCGTCCCATTGGCACGGATGCTGTCTGTGGGGAAGAGGGACACGAGGAAGTGAGGCGGGGATGGAGAGGGATGGAGAGAGATGGAGAGGGAAGCGGAGAAAGATGGGCAGGCGGACTAGACTGCGGCAGGAGAGCAGGGCGTGTGGTGAATGGCAGGTGAGGAAAGCAAGGGGCAAGGGGCAGGGGGCAGGGGGCAGGGGGCAGGGGGCAGGGCAGGGATAGGATAGGAGAGTGTAATGGGGGTGGCAGGGACGGCAGCAGGAGATGGGGAGACGGCGGAGGGGAAAGGAGAGACGACGGGTACACAGAGCGGCGAGCGGCAAGGGGTTGAGGGATAAGCGGAAGCAAGGGAGGGTGAGAGGGTGCGAGGGGCTAGGGGCACAGAAATAACGCGCTGTTTATTCACTTCTGTCTATGAATCCGCTCGGTGCGATAGGAATGGAGCTGAGGCGTTGGAGCGAAAAAGGGGGGAGCGGGGGGGGGGCGTTGAATCGACTGAAAAATCTTCTCCAGCGAGGGGGTCAGGGACGAGGGGAAGCAAGGAAGGAACTGAATTGAGGATTTGCAACGAAGAAGAGCGGCTGCGGGACGGATCATGCAGGAGATGGGGAAGCAACGATCCGTCCATCGCCGCTGTTTTCGCTAGATTCGCACTCGTGAAAATTTTGCCATTTTCGCACACCTGTAAAGTTCGCCGAATGAAACTGCCAGCTTCAGTTTGGCCGCAAACGATTCTATGCAAGGTATGAAAGAGAGACGACGGGTACACAGAAGGGGGGCGCCGTCGCGCTACGTCATCCAATCAAGGGCGACCGCGTGAGGTGCTCTGGGGAATGGAGGCAGGATGTAACGCGAACTGCTACTACGTGCTGGATATTAAAATTTAACATGGCCTTCGTTTGCATCACATCATCCTATTGGTCAACTGCTGGGTCGATCCGATATGCGTTCGTCGGACCCGATTTGCGTTGTTGAAGTCTTCGTTATGATGCACTTCACCGTATGCTAACCGTACACTAAAGCGCAAATATTAGACAGTCTTTAAATGTTTATGCTTTAAAATGTTGGTGGCTTTTATAAGCAAACACTACGTTAACTCCATTAGGGATGGCACAATTATAAAGTTGACCAAAATATGCACTTGGACAAAGCAGAAACAATAAAGCCAGATAGGCATGACAGCATCAGGTACAATGTACAATCTTCTACATTCATGCAACAGTAACTACTACAGTGCAGCGCATAACAGACATGTTGGGCACTCCATGCTCGTGGCAGCAGTGGCTGGCTGGCTGGCAGGGCAACACTTTTGAAAGTATTTCAGGTACCGGTATTGTCTTGCTTGCACCCTCCCTCATGGTACGGTATTCTGGTTCCTTCTTATTGAATGCTTTGTGTGCTGCTGTTGGCAGCGGTGGCTGGCTGCTAGTGCTGCCAGTGAGGGCTGGCAGAGCAGCGTCCTGTGGGTGTGTGCACGAGTAACTTTTGCTTTGCACCCTCACGGTGCTCTTCCCTCGGCATATCTGAATTGTGCCTACTGAGTGGCGGCAAACACGGCACCGGTATCCGCGATTTGATACACCAGGTGCTGCTGCTGGCAGGGAGTGGGGTGTGTGCTATCCCCGTGTAGTGTGGGTGTGAGATGCACAATGTCTGCCTGGTGTGGCAGGGATAGGGGGAGGAGCGCAGGGCAGGGAGCACGAGGAGAGAAAGAGAAGGGCACATGAGCAGCAAGCACCTCTGCAGTTGATTTCGAAGCGCCTCAAAACTAGAGCAGCAAGCACCTCTGCAGTTGATGTTATGTTATGGTGGACGTGTGATGCATGGCCTGATGTGAGTGGTCTTACCAGCACAAGCACGTCAGAGAGATGCAACGGACAGGGCAGGACGTGAGGGAGGCGATGGGGGAGAGCGGGAGGAGAGGCAACAAGGTAGGGGGCGGAGGAGAACTGAAACGACTTTTACCAGCCCGTGAACATCTGAGGCATGGCCTGTTGTGAGTGGTCTCAGCAGCACGAGCACGTCAGAGAAGTGGAGTAGCCAAAGCAGGAGAGGGGGTGAGGCGATCGGGGAGGGTGAAAAGGAAGATCGGAGCGACCTTACCTGCCCGTGAACATCAGAGGCATGGCCTGATGTGAGCGGTCTCAGCAGCACGAGCACGTCAGGGAGGTGGAGCAACCAGGTTAGGAAGGAAGGAGTGGCGAGAGGGGGAAGGATCAGATGAGGGCGAAGACTCTTACCTTCCATGGACGTCTGATGCATGGCCTGAAGTGAGTGGTCTCAGCAGCACGAGCACGTCAGGGAGGTGGAGCAAGGAGAGCGTGAGCAGAGGGAGAAGGAATGGGGGGGGAAGGGGGGTGTGGTGAAGGTGAGGCAACAAGGAGTGGGGGGGGATCCAGAGGAGAGACGACAGGGAGTGGGGGGAGGGATATCTGAAGGAATTCTACCTGCCCATGAACGTCCGAGGCATGGCCTGATGTGAGCGGTCTCAGCAGCACGAGCACATCAGAGAAATGGAGAAGCCAGGGCAGGAGAGGAGGAGAGGAAGAGGAGGATGAGAGAAGGGTGGGCAGTGGCGGTGGTGGGGTTGCAGCGAAGGTGAAGGTGGTTGGATGGACGGCTGAATGGGTGAGAAGCACGAGGGCAGTTCTCTGGACGGACGGGGAGAGGGAAGGGGGAAGAGAAGGGGGAGAGACAAAGGTGGGAGAAAGAAGGTGAAGGTGGGTGGGTGGATGGCTGAATGGGTGAGAAGCACGAGGGAAGCTCTCTGTAAGGAAGGGGCGAGAGGGAAGGGGGAAGAGAAGGGGGAGAGACAAAGGTGGGGAGACAAAGGTGGGGAGAAGGAAGGCAAGGTGGTTGGATGAACGGCTGAATGGGTGAGAAGAACGAGAGGAAGGTGGGGTGGGGGGGGAATTGTGGTGGCAGGAGGGAAGAAATACGAGGTCACAAGATTTAGCAGAATGGGCTGGACGTGTGGGGGGAGCAATAGAATAGCAAATATACGGTGGGAATGTGTGTGCGTATGCTGCATGGAGTGCTAAAATCGAATGCGCATGGATTCTTCATACAGTGAACACATGTGCTTGGTGTATGTGAAAGGAATAACAATTGTGCAAAAATGGTGCCACATGTGCAGAGATGACACTAAGTGCACAGATACATAAATGCCACATGTTCAGCTTGCTCACATGGTGCTTAGTGCACAGGCCGCGGCACGCTGAGAGAAAGTCCATAACCTATGGTGCCACATGTGCAGATACAGTGTTGAGACTGCTCACATGGTGCTTAGTGTGTAGGCCACGGCACGCTGAGAGAAAGTCCATAACCTATGGTGCCACATGTGCAGATACAGTGTTGAGACTGCTCACATGGTGCTTAGTGTGTAGGCCACGGCACGCTGAGAGAAAGTCCATAACCTATGGTGCCACATGTGCAGATACAGTGTTGAGACTGCTCACATGGTGCTTAGTGTGTAGGCCACGGCACGCAGACAGAAAGTCCATAACCTATGGTGCCACATGTGCAGATACAGTGTTGAGACTGCTCACATGGTGCTTAGTGTGTAGGCCACGGCACGCTGAGAGAAAGTCCATAACCTATGGTGCCACATGTGCAGATACAGTGTTGAGACTGCTCACATGGTGCTTAGTGTGTAGGCCACGGCACGCTGAGAGAAAGTCCATAACCTATGGTGCCACATGTGCAGATACAATGTTGAGACTGCTCACATGGTGCTTAGTGCACAGGCCACGGCACGCAGACAGGAAGTCCATAAGCAGCCGAGAATCGCCACCCGCACAGGTCTCCAGCAGCGACACGTCATCAATCACGACGCACAGCTGGCCACCGCACCGAGCTGGGGGTGCCACGTCAGCAGCTCCAGATGGTGATGGTGACGTGGCAGCTCCAGCACCAGAACCAGCAGCAGCAGCAGCAGCAGCAGCAGGTTGAGATGTGGCATGGGAAGTGGTGTGAGAAGGGGGTTCAGCAGGGTTGGAAGGGGGTTGAGTGTGGTGAGAAGGGGTATGAGCTGGTTGAGAGGGGTGGAGGGGGCAGCCAATTGAACTGACAGCAGCGCAGATGGAGGAGTAGAGGGCGCGGAGGGGGTTGGCATTTGCACAGTGGGGCGAGTTGTGAGGCGACTTGTTGATGGAGGGGAGTGTATTGGAGGGCGGATGAGAGAGAGGAGAGAAGGGGAGTGGAGGGGAGAAGCGATACACTCCTGCCTGCTGTTGTTGCTGCTGCTGCTGCTGCTGCTGATGTGGCATTTCCTTTTGCTGCTGACACACTCGTGTATGATCTAAGCCATCAGGGTGCCACGTGTAGGCCTGTGATTGGCCGTCAATGATGGCCAGGCGATGCTGCCTGCAGAGATCGGTGAAGTGAACGCCCTGGGGGGAGGAGGAGAGAGAACAAGGAGAAAGAGGGGAGACAAGATTCCACTCTTGAGAGTCAAGACGTCTCGAACTCCTGGTGAGCAGCACTGCTGCCTGCAGGCTCATCAGGCGGTGCTGCCTGCAGAGGTCGGTGAAGTGAACGCCCTGGGGGAGGAGGAGTGAGAACAAGGAGTGAAATGGAAGACAGGGGAGATGACACAGGGCGTTCACGCACGCTAACCGTGTGTGCTAACTAGTAGCGAAGGTGAATGCGGTGAAGTCGACTGAGAGCTTGGCTTATTGTGGTTCACGTCCGTGCATTGCACGCACGTGGGACATGCTACTACCTCTCCTAAAAATGCGCCCATGCATAAATCCTCACCATTCGCCTTGCGATGTGACTGTAATGAGAGGGAGGGTGTGTCAACGCAACCAGACACACCGTCCTCACACACCCCTCCCCGCCTCCCCTGCACCCTCCCTCACACTCTCCGCAAGACCACCCACATTGCTACGCATTGCTGCACATTGCCTGCAACGTGAGTGTTATGAGAGGGAGGGTGCCTATACCATTCTCCTGGCAACGTGACTGTAATGAGAGGGAGGGTGCGCCAATGCAACCAGACACACCGTCCTCACACACCCCTCCCCGCCTCCCCTGCACCCTCCTTCCCCCTGGCTCTCCCCCCGCCTCTCCCCCACCCCTCCCCCCTGGGGGGGTGGGGAGAGCAGATGCGACTTGAGGAGGTGCAGCAGCAGGAAGCTTCCTTCCGCTGCCACGTCATCACACAGCAGGAGGGCGGCACCAGGCAGCACAGAGCCTGAAGGGGAAATCCCGAGGTGCGGGTTGATGGGCGAGGTGGGGAAGCCGGCTAGCACTGGGGGAATGGGGGAGTGGGACACGGGGGATGTTGCAGGAGAGCTTGACGCGGAAATCCCGAGGTGCAGGTTGATGGGGGACGTGCGGAAATCCTGCAAGCACTGGGATAACATATATGAGGGGGGGGTGGAGGGGAAGGTGGGGAGTGTTGTGCGGGGAGGAGGGCAGCGCCGGGCAGCACGGAGCCCGGAGGGGAGATCCCAAGGTGCGGGTTGATGGGCGAGGTGGGGAAACCGGCTAGCACTGGGGGGAGGAGGTTGGGGTGGATGAGAAAAGAGGGAAAAACGCGGAAAGTGTGCGGAGGAGTGGGTGAGGGAGAGTTTGAGGAAAAGGAGATCCCGAGGTGTGGGTTGATGGGGGAGGTGGGGAAACCCGCTAGCACTGGGGGAAAGGGGGAGTGGGTCACGGGGGGGATTGCAGGAGGGCAGCACTGAGCCCGAGGCGGAGATCCCGAGGTGCGGGTTGATGGGGGACGTGGGGAAACCTGCGAGCACTGGGATAACATATATGAGGGGGGGATGGAGGGGAAGGTGGGGAGTGTTGAGCGGGGAGGAGGGCGGCGCTGGGCAGCAGGGAGCCTGATGTGGAGATCCCGAGGTGCGGGTTGAAGGGCGAGGTTGGGAATCCTGCTAGCACTGGGATTTAAAAAGGGGGTTAAGGTAGAGGGAGGGAAATGGAAGGAGTTTTTGAGGGGGTGGGTGAGGGGGGGTAAGGGAGGGGCGGCACTGATCCCGACGCGGAGATCCCGAGTTGCAGGTTGATGGGCGAGGTGGGGAAGCCTGCTAGCACTGGGAGTTAAAAAGGGGAGTTAAGGGAGAGGGAGTCGAAATGGAAGGGGTTTTGGGGAGGGGAATGAGGGGTTAAGGGAAGAAAGACGGAGATCCCGAGGTGCGGGTTGATGGGGGACGTGAGGAAGCCGGCTAGCACTGAGGATTGCCAGGAATGAACAGCCAGGAGGGGTAGGGGGATGGGGGGAGATGGGGAGCGGAATGGGGGGAGAGGAGGGGCGGGACAAGGGAGAGGGAGAGTGGGCGTTTGAGTTTGAGTTGGGAGAGCGGGTAGATGAAGTGGGAAGTGCAGGATTAGGGCGCAAGGGGAAAAGGGGATGGGGCACTCTGCGGGCTGTGTGGACGGCAGGCGTGGCGACTCACTTGTAACGGACATGCTCTGATGCGCTCTGGCGCGTTTTAGTGCGCGCTGGTGGGCATGCACGAATGCCGAGAGGAGATTTCGAGCGGAAATGCGGCAGCAGCAGCGCCCCGCGCGCGCCAATTGGCTGCCTGCGGGACCGGGCGAGCGGTGCTTCCGCCTGACGGCGCTGAGCGGCACGCGCGGAGGCGGCTACGTGCGCAGCTTGGCGCGCAGCTGCGCGGTGAGACCGGGCCGACACGGGCGACGCGGGTGAGGCGGGGGCGGCGCGCGAGGCGGGCAGGCCAGGTGTGGCGACGGGCCGCGACGAAGTGGCGCGGCAGGAGACAGCGGCGAGTGGCGGAGAGGGCGGGGGAATGAAGGCGGAAAAACTGCGCGGAATACACTGGTATATACAAAACAAGTGAATGATGACCGGATGTAATGCTGGAGCGGGTGCCTTATATCGAACAGCTTTCAGGCGAAGTTGCTCCATGTGTCCTTTGGATTTACTCGCTACCCGCGCTGCAGGCTGTTGCAACTTTGAACAAATCCTACAAATCCTAAACCATATATACACCATATACAAAACGCATAAGAAACTCATCACATCTGCCCTACTGCACAGCATTATATTAGGCTGAAACAGCACCATTCACATCATTCCGCTCTCAAGCCTCCATTCAAAGACACTCTCTTTCTGCGGAATCACTTCCACCATCTTCCTCCATTCCTGCCCTCCATCCCTCACCACCACTTCATACTCCCCTGCAAACCCCTCAACCACAAACCACCCCTCTTCATCCGTCCTCCCCACCACATCCCTCGTCGTCCATTCCTCTAGCAACCTCTCCAGTCTCTCCCCCGCCTCGGTCAACGACCAATCAGAACGCACCAAGTGTGCATTTTTCCGCGACATGGACGGTCGATCCGGCCCAGAACCTTCCCAGAAACCCCACAAAACCACCCCTTCCACTCCCCCATGTGCAAACGCCTCCCTTAGACAAATCTCCAAATCATCCGCTCTCACTTTTTCATCTAAGGAACTCACATCTAGCTCCGTAACCCAAACTGGTAACCCTACATCGGCTAGGATATTCCACGCATGCCTCATGTGGGTGCCAACTGGTGCGCTGATGTGGCACTGCGTGCCGAGCCCGCCAACTGGCGCCCCGCTGGCGATGAGCTGGCGGGCGAACTGCGCGTACTTCTCCGGGCGGGTCTTTTCGTCCTCGCCGTCCTCCACGTGGTACTCGTTGAGGAAAAGGACGAGGGACTTTTGAGTCGACTCAAAAGTCTCCTCGCCGTCCTCTGTGTGGTACTCGTTGAGGAAAAGGACAAGAGACGGATCGATCTGGGCGGCGAACTGGAACATGCGCGGGATGAAGGATGGGCCGCAGCGGGAGGAGAAGAACCCTCCGTGCAGCATCTCGTTGTTTACATCCATGTGAGCGAAGCAGTTGGGATAGCGGGTGAGGAGGGATGTAAGTCTTTTGTCAATAGCATCTGCATGGGGCGGGTGAGACGGAGGAAGAGAGTAGTGAGAGAGAAGAAGAATCCTCCATGCAGCATCTCGTTGTTAATGTCTATGTGAGCGAAACAGTTTGGATAGCGGGTGAGAAGGGATAGGATTCTGTTGTCAATAGCTTCTGCATTGGGGGAGTGGGGAGTACAGGGGGGGGGGGGAGGGGTGGACAAGTAGATTGGGCACGGCGGGAGGAGAAGAATTCCCCAAGCAGCATCTCATTGTTGACGTCTATGTGAGCAAAGCAGTTGGGGTAGCGGGTGAGGAGAGATTGGATTCTTCTGTCAATGGCATCTGTGTTGGAAGAAGGTATGGGATAGAGGAGGTGGGGAAGAGAAGAGTGGATGGGCTGCAGTGCAGCAGAAGGAGAAGAATCCCTTGTGCAAAATCTCGTTGCTGATGTCTATGTGTATAAAGCAGTTTGGGTAGCGGGTAAGGAGGGATGCGATCCTGTTGTCAGGCATCTCCGTGGGTGAGGTAAAGGGGGGGGGGGGGTGTTGAAGGTGGGGGGTGGAGTGGATAGAGGGAGGGATGAGTAAATTGGGTTCAGCACAGGGAAAAGCATCTTTGTGCAGCATCTCGCTGCTGATGTCCATGTGAGGGATAGTGAGTAGCAAGAGCGGAGAGATGTGAAACTGTTGTAAGTAGCGCCCATGCAAAAGGGAGGATAGGGAAGAGCAGATTGAGAAGAGGGAAGACGGAACAGAGGAGAGGAGAGTAGGTAGAAGCCTCCTTCCGTCCGCATGCTGTTTCAAACAGGGCAGCGCACTTGCATTGCCTCATGAGCAGTTGCTCTCATTGTCAGCACACCTTCAAGGCACAGGACAGTCATGCTTGGAACGACAGGGCAATACATGTGTCATACCTTTGAGGTCCGTGAGCGGGAGTGCGTCCACCCAGGGCGGGCGCACGTTGTCCCACACGAGACAGTGCGCTCTCATTGCTTTGCTCACGTGCAACTGCTCTCATTGTGAGCCCTCCTTCCAGCCACAGTGCAGCCATGCTCTCATCGTGAGCGGGAGTCCGTCCACCCAAGGCGGGTGCATGTTGTCCCAGAAGAGGCAGTGCGCTCTCAATGCTTTGCTCACGTGCAACTGCTCTCATTGTGAGCCCTCCTTCCAGCCACAGTGCAGCCATGCTCTCATCGTGAGCGGGAGTCCGTCCACCCAAGGCGGGTGCATGTTGTCCCAGAAGAGGCAGTGCGCTCTCAATGCTTTGCTCACGTGCAACTGCTCTTATTGTGAGCCCACCTTTCAGTCACAGAGCAGCAATGCTCTAAGCCATATGCCAATCATGCTGGAAGAGACAGAGAGATGAAGGTGACGCACCTTTGAGGTCATTGAGCGGGAGTGCGTCCACCCAGGGCGGGCGCATGTTGTCCCAAAAGAGACAGTGTGCTCTCATTGCCACTCCATGCTCCTGCATGCACGCACAGGCATGCATGCACATTCACACAGGCATAGAATATTAACCAGGAACTGACACAATTGTGCTGTACACGTACGTGAAGTCCCAAGTGTCCTCACTCAGGTGTTTGTTGTGCACGTCGAACTGCATGTGCGCAACACGCAATGCACCTTTCCTTGCACCTCTCCAAAATGTACCTCCTCCCAGTGCACCTCCCGCAAGGCACTTTCCTCGTCCCTGCAGCCCCGTTCCCATCCCCATCCCTAACCCAATCCTTACCCCAATCCTTATCCCCCTCCCCATCCCCATCCCCCTCCCCATCCCCATCCCCCTCCCCATCCCCATCCGCATCCCCATCCCCATCCCCATCCGCATCCCCATCCCCATCCCCATCCGCGTCCCCATCCCCATCCCCATCCGCGTCCCCATCCCCATCCCCATCCCCCTCCCCATCCCCATCCCCATCCCCATCCCCATCCCCATCCCCATCCCCATCCCCATCCGCGTCCCCATCCCCATCCCCATCCGCGTCCCCATCCCCATCCCCATCCCCCTCCCCATCCCCATCCCCATCCCCATCCCCATCCGCGTCCCCATCCCCATCCCCATCCGCGTCCCCATCCCCATCCCCATCCGCGTCCCCATCCCCATCCCCATCCGCGTCCCCATCCCCATCCCCATCCGCGTCCCCATCCCCATCCCCATCCGCGTCCCCATCCCCATCCCCATCCGCGTCCCCATCCCCATCCCCATCCGCGTCCCCATCCCCATCCCCATCCGCGTCCCCATCCCCATCCCCATCCGCGTCCCCATCCCCATCCCCATCCGCGTCCCCATCCCCATCCCCATCCGCGTCCCCATCCCCATCCCCATCCGCGTCCCCATCCCCATCCCCATCCGCGTCCCCATCCCCATCCCCATCCGCGTCCCCATCCCCATCCCCATCCGCGTCCCCATCCCCATCCCCATCCGCGTCCCCATCCCCATCCCCATCCGCGTCCCCATCCCCATCCCCATCCGCGTCCCCATCCCCATCCCCATCCGCGTCCCCATCCCCATCCCCATCCGCGTCCCCATCCCCATCCCCATCCGCGTCCCCATCCCCATCCCCATCCGCGTCCCCATCCCCATCCCCATCCGCGTCCCCATCCCCATCCCCATCCGCGTCCCCATCCCCATCCCCATCCCCATCCCCATCCCCATCACCACTCTCACGCCCATCCATCACCACACACACCTGCATCCACGCCACCATGGCATCAGCGTCTCTCCAGTCCCGAGGGCACCGCATGAAACCCATGCACCTTCTAATTGCTTTCTCGCAACAGACCCACCTGCATCCACGCCACCATGGCATCGGCGTCTCTCCAGTCCTCCTTTCCTCGCCTCCACATTCGTAACACTCTCACTCACCCCCCTCAACCCCCTTTCCTTCCCATCACACTCACCCACCTGCATCCACGCCACCATGGCATCAGCGTCTCTCCACTCCTGAGGGCACCGCATGCAACCCATGCACCAGTGCATGCACCTTCTGGTTGCTTTCTCGCAACAGACCCACATGCATCCATTTATCACGCACACCCACCTGCATCCACGCCACCATGGCATCAGCGTCCCTCCAGTCCTCCTCCCCCTGCCTCGCCTCCACGCTCATCCACTTGAGCTCGTTCTCACACACGCCCCAGCTGAACCACGCCCCACTCCTGCTCACCCCACTCAACCCCCTTCCCTTCCCCTCAGAAGAAATCTGTAGGCCCTTTCCCACTTCTTTCCCCACTTTCCCTCCCTGGGCGGGAGGCAGGAAGAAGGACTGATACTTTCTGTTCCCGAGCAGGTCTCTAGCGTTCACGCATGTGCCAAGGGGAAAGGCACGTCGCGTCTGATTGGCTGACACGTGTGCGGTCGGGATTGGCTGGCCGACGGCAGAGAGGAGGCGGAGTCGGAGTGATCCCTTGCGCAGCTGATGGGGTGGAAAATGATGTGGGAGGGAGGAAGGTGGGATATGTTGAAAAGAGGGGGGATCAGTATGTGAGAAGAGGAGACAGAGCCGGAGCGATCCCTTGTGCAGCTGATGAGGGGGAGACGAGGTGGGCGAGGGAGGGGAAGGGGTTGTGTGTGAGTCTGGGCAAAAGGTTGTGGTGCTCGGGGGGGGAGGGCATGCATGTGGGCATGTCGGAGAAGTGTAGGGGATAGAGAGGGAGTGTGGGAAGGGGAGAAGGGGTGTGGGTAGGGCAGAGGGAGTGTGTGTGGGAGTGGTAGGGGCATGGGAACACAGGTCACAACCAACAATGAACAACCCCTCCCACCCTCTCCACCCCTCCCTCCCCACCCCTCTCCACCCTCCCCCACACATATCCACCCCTTCCAGCCGCTTTCCACCACTCACCCTGTCTGCTTGTTCTCGCAGCCACGGCACCCTCTCCCGCCAGTCCACAGGCACCACGCGCACATCAGCCAATAGGATGCTGACACCTGGCGGCGGGCCCTGCACATACAGCACTGCTCGCCTGTACGGCTTCTCCAGGCGAAACGACCCCCAGCACCGCACCCACTCCTTCCCGGAAGCTTCCACGGATCCAGCATTTACCCAACCCCCATCCACCCCCAATGCTATGTTCACTGCGTGTGATCCCACCGTTTCCCCCCCTCCTTCTGCCTCTCCTGCCTTCCCTGCCTCTGTTCCCTCTGCCCCTCCTTCCTCCCCGCTTTTCCCTTTTCTAGCAAAAAGGGAGAGAGCTTTTCCTGGCTGTTTTTGTGATCTGTCCCTCCCCAAACGCACCCACGCGCTCACAGCATACGTCACAAACAAACAAATCGGCCCACCGTCAACGAACCCATCAGTCCGGGCGGCAGCACCAGCAGCACTGCTGCTTTCCGGGCTGTGATTGGCTGCTGCAATGTCCTGAGCTGGCCCATGCCACGTGGCAGTCCTACCTGTCACTTCCACATAAGCACCTGTGGGTCCTCCAGCAAGGGGAACCGAGGAGGCAGGTTGAAGCAGAGGCAAAACCGGATGGCTTGATGCTGTGTGATGGCTTGATGACATAAGATCGCGTTGTTCCAAGTCAGAGTGTTGCACTTGCTGCTGATTCTGCTGCTGTTGTTGCTGCAGCCGTTTCTGGTGGTGCTGCCGCCACTGTGCGTGAAGCTGCATCTGCTGCCGCTCAAACACGGTGCAGGGATGAGAGGCGGGCAGGGAGGAGGGCTCCACGGGAGGACCAATCACAGAGCCCCACGGGCACGGCGCGTGCCACGTCAGCACCTCGCAGCCACCCATGGGCCGCCAGCTGGCAGTGCGGCGGGAGAAATCGCCGTTGAGGAGGAGATTGGGGCGAGGGGAGTGGTGGGGAGGGTGGAGAGGAGGGAGAGGAGGGGACGTGGGGCAAGGCGGGACTGCTGCTGCTGATATTTTCGGAGCAGCAAGAGGAGCGAGAGGAGGAGCATTGGTAGGAGGAGTGAGAGGGGGAGGAATGTTCATAGCAGCAGTGGGTGGAAGAGGAGGGAAAGTGGGCTGTGGGTCGGAGGTTGGGACTATAGCGAAGAGGCTAATAAGGAGGTCGAAATTGGGAGGGGGACCCTCGATGTAGGCTGTTACCTGATTGGGGCGATGGGGGCAAAAACGGGGAAAGAGGGTTTGTCTGAGACGAGGATGTGGTACAATCAAGTACGATCGGGTGCGACAGGGTGCAATGGGATGCGATAGGGTTCGATGGGGTGCGGATGGGTTGAAGGGAGGAGGCGATCGGCCCACAGGGATGAGGAATTGGTAGAGTAGGGTGAATGATAGAATGGACTATCTGCGAGCGTGTTTTAAGTCGACTCAAAACATGGTGAATGATAGAATGGACTATCTGCGAGCGTGTTTTAAGTCGACTCAAAACATGGTGAATGATAGAATGGACTATCTGCGAGCGTGTTTTAAGTCGACTCAAAACATGGTGAATGATAGAATGGACTATCTGCGAGCGTGTTTTAAGTCGACTCAAAACATGGTGAATGATAGAATGGACTATCTGCGAGCGTGTTTTAAGTCGACTCAAAACATGGTGAATGATAGAATGGACTATCTGCGAGCGTGTTTTAAGTCGACTCAAAACATGGTGAATGATAGAATGGACTATCTGCGAGCGTGTTTTAAGTCGACTCAAAACATGGTGAATGATAGAATGGACTATCTGCGAGCGTGTTTTAAGTCGACTCAAAACATGGTGAATGATAGAATGGACTATCTGCGAGCGTGTTTTAAGTCGACTCAAAACATGGTGAATGATAGAATGGACTATCTGCGAGCGTGTTTTAAGTCGACTCAAAACATGGTGAATGATAGAATGGACTATCTGCGAGCGTGTTTTAAGTCGACTCAAAACATGGTGAATGGTAGAATGGACTATCTGCGAGCGTGTTTTAAGTCGACTCAAAACATGGTGAATGATAGAATGGACTATCTGCGAGCGTGTTTTAAGTCGACTCAAAACATGGTGAATGGTAGAATGGACTATCTGCGAGCGTGTTTTAAGTCGACTCAAAACATGGTGAATGATAGAATGGACTATCTGCGAGCGTGTTTTAAGTCGACTCAAAACATGGTGAATGATAGAATGGACTATCTGCGAGCGTGTTTTAAGTCGACTCAAAACATGGTGAATGATAGAATGGACTATCTGCGAGCGTGTTTTAAGTCGACTCAAAACATGGTGAATGATAGAATGGACTATCTGCGAGCGTGTTTTAAGTCGACTCAAAACATGGTGAATGATAGAATGGACTATCTGCGAGCGTGTTTTAAGTCGACTCAAAACATGGTGAATGATAGAATGGACTATCTGCGAGCGTGTTTTAAGTCGACTCAAAACATGGTGAATGATAGAATGGACTATCTGCGAGCGTGTTTTAAGTCGACTCAAAACATGGTGAATGATAGAATGGACTATCTGCGAGCGTGTTTTAAGTCGACTCAAAACATGGTGAATGATAGAATGGACTATCTGCGAGCGTGTTTTAAGTCGACTCAAAACATGGTGAATGATAGAATGGACTATCTGCGAGCGTGTTTTAAGTCGACTCAAAACATGGTGAATGATAGAATGGACTATCTGCGAGCGTGTTTTAAGTCGACTCAAAACATGGTGAATGATAGAATGGACTATCTGCGAGCGTGTTTTAAGTCGACTCAAAACATGGTGAATGATAGAATGGACTATCTGCGAGCGTGTTTTAAGTCGACTCAAAACATGGTGAATGATAGAATGGACTATCTGCGAGCGTGTTTTAAGTCGACTCAAAACATGGTGAATGATAGAATGGACTATCTGCGAGCGTGTTTTAAGTCGACTCAAAACATGGTGAATGATAGAATGGACTATCTGCGAGCGTGTTTTAAGTCGACTCAAAACATGGTGAATGATAGAATGGACTATCTGCGAGCGTGTTTTAAGTCGACTCAAAACATGGTGAATGGTAGAATGGACTATCTGCGAGCGTGTTTTAAGTCGACTCAAAACATGGTGAATGATAGAATGGACTATCTGCGAGCGTGTTTTAAGTCGACTCAAAACATGGTGAATGATAGAATGGACTATCTGCGAGCGTGTTTTAAGTCGACTCAAAACATGGTGAATGATAGAATGGACTATCTGCGAGCGTGTTTTAAGTCGACTCAAAACATGGTGAATGATAGAATGGACTATCTGCGAGCGTGTTTTAAGTCGACTCAAAACATGGTGAATGATAGAATGGACTATCTGCGAGCGTGTTTTAAGTCGACTCAAAACATGGTGAATGATAGAATGGACTATCTGCGAGCGTGTTTTAAGTCGACTCAAAACATGGTGAATGATAGAATGGACTATCTGCGAGCGTGTTTTAAGTCGACTCAAAACATGGTGAATGATAGAATGGACTATCTGCGAGCGTGTTTTAAGTCGACTCAAAACATGGTGAATGATAGAATGGACTATCTGCGAGCGTGTTTTAAGTCGACTCAAAACATGGTGAATGATAGAATGGACTATCTGCGAGCGTGTTTTAAGTCGACTCAAAACATGGTGAATGATAGAATGGACTATCTGCGAGCGTGTTTTAAGTCGACTCAAAACATGGTGAATGATAGAATGGACTATCTGCGAGCGTGTTTTAAGTCGACTCAAAACATGGTGAATGATAGAATGGACTATCTGCGAGCGTGTTTTAAGTCGACTCAAAACATGGTGAATGATAGAATGGACTATCTGCGAGCGTGTTTTAAGTCGACTCAAAACATGGTGAATGATAGAATGGACTATCTGCGAGCGTGTTTTAAGTCGACTCAAAACATGGTGAATGATAGAATGGACTATCTGCGAGCGTGTTTTAAGTCGACTCAAAACATGGTGAATGATAGAATGGACTATCTGCGAGCGTGTTTTAAGTCGACTCAAAACATGGTGAATGGTAGAATGGACTATCTGCGAGCGTGTTTTAAGTCGACTCAAAACATGGTGAATGATAGAATGGACTATCTGCGAGCGTGTTTTAAGTCGACTCAAAACATGGTGAATGGTAGAATGGACTATCTGCGAGCGTGTTTTAAGTCGACTCAAAACATGGTGAATGATAGAATGGACTATCTGCGAGCGTGTTTTAAGTCGACTCAAAACATGGTGAATGATAGAATGGACTATCTGCGAGCGTGTTTTAAGTCGACTCAAAACATGGTGAATGATAGAATGGACTATCTGCGAGCGTGTTTTAAGTCGACTCAAAACATGGTGAATGATAGAATGGACTATCTGCGAGCGTGTTTTAAGTCGACTCAAAACATGGTGAATGATAGAATGGACTATCTGCGAGCGTGTTTTAAGTCGACTCAAAACATGGTGAATGATAGAATGGACTATCTGCGAGCGTGTTTTAAGTCGACTCAAAACATGGTGAATGATAGAATGGACTATCTGCGAGCGTGTTTTAAGTCGACTCAAAACATGGTGAATGATAGAATGGACTATCTGCGAGCGTGTTTTAAGTCGACTCAAAACATGGTGAATGATAGAATGGACTATCTGCGAGCGTGTTTTAAGTCGACTCAAAACATGGTGAATGATAGAATGGACTATCTGCGAGCGTGTTTTAAGTCGACTCAAAACATGGTGAATGATAGAATGGACTATCTGCGAGCGTGTTTTAAGTCGACTCAAAACATGGTGAATGATAGAATGGACTATCTGCGAGCGTGTTTTAAGTCGACTCAAAACATGGTGAATGATAGAATGGACTATCTGCGAGCGTGTTTTAAGTCGACTCAAAACATGGTGAATGATAGAATGGACTATCTGCGAGCGTGTTTTAAGTCGACTCAAAACATGGTGAATGATAGAATGGACTATCTGCGAGCGTGTTTTAAGTCGACTCAAAACATGGTGAATGATAGAATGGACTATCTGCGAGCGTGTTTTAAGTCGACTCAAAACATGGTGAATGATAGAATGGACTATCTGCGAGCGTGTTTTAAGTCGACTCAAAACATGGTGAATGATAGAATGGACTATCTGCGAGCGTGTTTTAAGTCGACTCAAAACATGGTGAATGGTAGAATGGACTATCTGCGAGCGTGTTTTAAGTCGACTCAAAACATGGTGAATGATAGAATGGACTATCTGCGAGCGTGTTTTAAGTCGACTCAAAACATGGTGAATGATAGAATGGACTATCTGCGAGCGTGTTTTAAGTCGACTCAAAACATGGTGAATGATAGAATGGACTATCTGCGAGCGTGTTTTAAGTCGACTCAAAACATGGTGAATGATAGAATGGACTATCTGCGAGCGTGTTTTAAGTCGACTCAAAACATGGTGAATGATAGAATGGACTATCTGCGAGCGTGTTTTAAGTCGACTCAAAACATGGTGAATGATAGAATGGACTATCTGCGAGCGTGTTTTAAGTCGACTCAAAACATGGTGAATGATAGAATGGACTATCTGCGAGCGTGTTTTAAGTCGACTCAAAACATGGTGAATGATAGAATGGACTATCTGCGAGCGTGTTTTAAGTCGACTCAAAACATGGTGA